GAAAGTACAAGGTCTGGTTTCTACCTGCTTCTTCCACCAATCCTCGACAGGTTTCGTTTCTTCTCAAAACACGCAGAAGGGGATAAAAAAAGACAAAACGCGATGCCCTGAGCACGCTCCATCTGCTGATCTGTGAGACAAACAGTGGACGAAAAGTGGGAAGCTTTCCGAATTTCTGAGGCGGACCCCAGCACCGTCCAAATCCGTATCACAATAAGGTGATGATTGTTCGATAAAAATTCCATTTCGTTTTTCTCGTCTTGCTTCTTCCCAGAAGAGACGCTGCTTGATGCAAGGCATGCTTTTTCTGCATCCTCGTCTTACATGCCCAAACAGGAAACAGGCTGCGTGCTTTGGCGCAAGGGATGGAGGGGTTAGCTGGCAGAGAGTTACATGGCTCAGTACCACGGCTCTGCTTGTTTACTTTTTCTTCCGACCTCTGGAATTTTAATTAAAAATGAAAATAAAATGACCTCTTTACCTTCACTTACGCAGAAGGGCATAGTCGCGATAACGGGGACCGAATATGCGCCAATGGTGTTGCTCAGTTGGGATTCCCGCAGCCTCTTTACCCGGCCGGCGAGTCTTTGCTCGGGCACTAAAACCAGCGAACCATCAAACAATAAAATGAAACAACCCAATCGCGGGTGTCCGGGGTCAAGCCCCTCCCCCTTCGGCTGCGTCGCGAGAACAGCTTTGGTTGCAGAGTAGCACGATTTGGCAACAAAGTTGCACGATCTGGTTACAGAGCTGTACGATTCTCGCGGCTCTGTGTCTGGGCTCCCTTCAGCCCCCGGCCATCTGCGAAACAGAAGAGAAGCGAGAAACAAGAGCTGGGTCCGACGGGCCCTCACAGCTCGGTGTTAGTAGTTGTCACCGCCATGAAGCCAACGGCCGACCGTTACGGTAGTTGAGGTGACTGCGAGTCAACTGCGAGTTGGGTGCGAATGTTGGTGAGGGTAATGAGCAAGACAGAAGTTCCTGCTGTTGGGCCGGGGATCTTGTAGCCATCATTTGGGGCGGAAATTTGGCCGATGGTGATTTGGCGAAGCCGGAAAATCATGGGGAGGACGGGGCTTATGGCAATCATGGTCGAAAACAGGCTGATTTGCTGAAGCACAATCCTGACGGCCGATACCCGGGAGATTGATTTGAGTAAAGGTCTGGATGAACTGGGGAGATAAGCGACGAGATACGTGGAAATTACAAATGACACCGCCAGGACAGTAGCACGTCTGCTATAGAGTGGTGGTGCTGCAACGAGCTGCACGGCGGTGCTGTGAATGGCAGGGATCTGCAGAGCCCGAGAGGCGCTTTTCGCTGGAGCTGTCCTTTGTGCCACCCGCCATAGATGCCTCCTTCTCGTTGTTCGCATTGGTACACGCAGTCGATTGGCTTTGGGGCAAAGTAAAAACCCGAGGAGGGAGCCAAGTATTTCGTGTGCGCGGATATCAACGCTGCTAGCGGTCGAATGCACGCGTCTTCGTATTGTCGACACCTCCAGCTTACATGCAGCAGCCACAACGCAAATATCGCATCGCACAAGGCGTCAACACGGGCTGAGGCGCGCCGTGGGCTTGCGCAGGCATCGGGCAGCGGCGTCCCATGCCATGCTTGCTGTCGTCGGGATCCGTCTTCTTGGGACTGTTTAGCACGGGCGGAGCTTTGCTGGGGATCCCTGAGTGCCTCACCATGATGGGCCTGTACGCATGGAGAATGGCTCGGAAGGGCCCCGTTCATGTACGGACGGGCCTCTGTCCATCTTGGCCTCATGGCTCCGGAGCGCTGCATGCTCGCTGCATGGCACAAACGCTAACAGCTGTGCGATGCAGTTTTATTCCATGCCGTGCTGGATGGACATGCAGCGGCCTAGTGGAAAACCCCTCACAAAGTGCAAAAGTTCAAAAGCTCAAAAGCAACAAGCATGACAAGAAGCTCGTGAACCGCGGAGCTGAGTTGTGGCCTCCCGCGCAGCAATTGGGCCGCAATGCTGAAGCCATCCGTGAACCACCCGCTGCTCCAAACGCGACATGGGCGTCTGCCGCAGCTTCTTCTGCGCAGCGATCCCAATCGACAGCTCAAATTGTCTTTCCCGTTTCGACCTCACGGCTGCTCATCGTGGACGCTCCGTCGAGCTGCCCAACCTCGTTGAAGCAAGGCACGGCTGGGGGGCCATGCTGGTGTCCCAGAGGCGGCCTAGGCCCCCGAGCCAGACGTTTCACGACTGCTGGCCGGCCCGGAAGCCAATCCTTGCTGATCAAGAGCATTTTGGCGGGGAGGAGCCCTAGCGGCACTCGTACAGACGGCGATGGGGCCCCTGGCTCTTGTTTTCGTTTCTTGGGTTCTTGCATTCTCGCAGGGCTCCTGGGCGAGGACGGGATGCCCTGGCGCGCAATCTCGAGCGAGCTTTTTCGAGGCCCACCGGTGTTTGCTGCTGTGGTTGGTGCTCGATTCAACAGGCCCAATGAGAGCTAGTGCTGCTAAAATAGACAGTGTAAGCTGCGTGATGATGCGTTATCGCCGTGGACCGCACTTGTTGACATCCATAGCAACAGCAGCAGCAACAGCGCTTCGTGCCGGTGTGTTTGTCTCGCGAATGCCTCCAGTGAGCGGATGTCAGGTCTGTACCCGAGCGTGTGCGATGCCGTGAATGCTGTTCCTCGGCCTGCAATGCTCAGTCTGGGATGGATCATCGCGGTGTGGATGCTGAGCGAATAAAAACCTTCAACGAAAGGACCAACATGAATTCTCGTTCCTGCATATGCGGGCTGTGAAGGTGTGAGGGGGAGGCGACCGCATATCGCCGATACTCTGCAGGTACAGCGACTTGTGCTCTGGGACCAGATGTACGAAGCCTGGGCTTGTGCCTGTGCCAAAGGCGCTAAAGTTGTTTAGCAGTCTTCAAGTCTTCAGCAAAGCAATGGTCTGTGCAGTTTTATGTCTATCAGGGTTGATAACAAATGAATTGCTCTTTGGTTTCAGACCTATAGCAGTCAAGAATAGCAGTGAGATTTTGCAATGGGCAACTCTGGTGTCACGTAGACTCCTTGTACATTCCATGTACATGTGCCTTGCAGAAGCCAAAGTACTGTAGGTACCTCCCTGGTATCACATCACATCACTTATTACCGTATCGTACTATGCAAAATGCTAGTCCAGAAAGAGCTCGAATAATAGAGTGAGAATGCCACCACTGCCAGGTAATAAAGCCAGGCACAGCATGCAATTTGCACTACTGGAATCCTTCTCGTCCAGGGCAGCTTGTTCACAGCGCCGACCCGACGCTGCGGATTGGACCGTTTCTGCGACCTGCCACGCGTGCGCAGATCCTTGCCCTGTGGCCTCTCCGAGTGGGCAGCAGCAGAAGGACTCGTGTTCTTTGTTTGACTGACAGTGTAGCGGTACAAGCACAGGTCGCTGGACAGGTGCTGGACAGGTGCTGGACAATGACCGCAGTGGCTGCGCTCTAGCGGGCTCTAGTACAGGTACAAGCGCAAGTCGTGCCTGGAGCTTGGCGCTAGAGCTGCTCTTACCTCACCAGGCACGGAATCCTCCCGTGCGCAGCGCTTTGGGCTAGTGCCGCTCCTAGTCCTTTGCACCGTCTACTGTACGTACCATTCTGGCCAAAGCAAGCAATCAATCTGCCCGTCTCCACCACCAGGCCTCAACCATCGATCGCGCTTTTAGCCAAATTGTCGTGGGATCTTCGCAGCCCTCATCCAGCTGCAGCCAAACGAGACACGCCGTCGCCCGCGCCGCGCGGTCTCAGATGCCGCTGGCTCAACGGCCTCTCGCCTTCTAGAAGCAGCGCAGAACGTCGCCGGCTGATTGCCAGGAGCTCGGGGTACTCCGTGCGATTCCACGCCTCGGACGCGAGCGGTCCTCGCTCATCTCGCGATCCAAAGACGCAGCAGCAGCGTCAATGTTACAGGCGCACAGCTTCGCACTATTGCCCATCGCTGGGCGCGTTCCTGCAGCCCGGCACCACAACCCACGCCGCACGTTGCATCACGCCCAAATGCTGCGTCAATGCGTGCAGCCCAGCCTTGTCCATCACACAGAGCGGCACCGTGCTCGGGAACTGGGTAGCATATAATACGATACGGGTTGACGGGCTCATGCTGGTGAATACGACCAGGCAGCTTGCCTTCCGCACTCCGGGCTGGGCTCGTGCAACGCCGCCTGCATTCACCGGTCCCGTCGGCCTGCATCCATATCGACAGGGTGCTAAACCATCCCAGCACTCGGCAGCATGCAGCATCCTGGCCACCGTCAGGGGTCCCGGGCCTGGTCGGCCAAGAGACCAACAGGGAACCGTTCCCCAGCACCATCGTCTCCATCGTCGCCCCCCGGTCGACGACGCTACCCACCCAAGAGAGGTTCCGCGGTCCAATCTCCTGACTGACCCGGGGTCAAGGATAGCCCCCAAATTTGGCATTTTTCTCGTCGTCTCTTCCAGGGTCCTGGATGGGAAGCCTCTCGCGCGCTCTGCCTCAGCTCAGCTCAGCTCCGTCATCCAGATATAATATAACCAGGACCGCTGCTCTCGCGCCTTGCTGAGTAGACTATATCCACTCCACGCTTCGCCCTGCCCGAACTGTCCATTGCGTTCACCTCTGGCTTCCCCTGGCCTCGTCTTCATCCTCTTTCTTGTATGGGGCACCGAGCGCGATATCCTGACAGGTACTCATACGAATAGCGGAGCCGAGCAAAAAAGCACAAACCAAGAGAGAGAGAGAGAAAAAAAAAAAAAGAGGCCCCATCGCCCTTCTTCACCCTGGATCAGTCAGTCTCGCCGCAGATCCCCAGAGGGCATGGTCTATCTCGCCCTCCCCAGCCCTTGACTCGCCATGTGGAGCATGAATGCCATAGCCTTCAATTCTGGCCACCCGGCGCCGCAGCAGGCGTCCAGGGCCAGGCCTCAGACGACTTCCATCCGGTACTTGAATAAGTCGTCGACGGCTCCTTCTTCTCCTAATCTCAACCAACCATCTTCCCCAATGTCTCCTCACATGAGTGCCGCCGACTTTTTCGAGCCTGCCATGGACAGGCCACCGTCCCCAGGCAGGATACGGCAGCTCAACTCGCAGATGAGGCGAGCCTCCCAGCTGCGCCGCCAGAATGGACACCGCACTGCCGCGTCCGCGTCTGTGGCTTCCAACGGTGAGAGCCCGGGGTGGGAGCAGACCTTGGAGAATCTGTCGCTTGGTAGACGCGCTTCGGTCAAGTCCACCGGCAGCAGCGCCCATTCACGAGAGCGCTCGGATAGCGTCTACGGCTTCGGCAAGAACCCCTTCCACCGACGAGCGAGATCCAAGCGTGAGAGCAGCGCCAACTCGTCCTCGGCCAGCTCCATGTATTCCGCCGAGGCGCCAGCCGACAGTGCCCTTGCCTCCACCAGCCACAAGGAGTCCTTTATCCAGGCCCTCACCCGCCGACGAGCCTCTCGAGACGACACCGCAGCTGCCCAGAGGAGGCTGAACATCTCGGGCCCTTACAACTTCCAGCATGTCACTCACACGCACCGCGATAGCGTTGCCCAGGCGCACGAGGGACCCGAGCAACTGACGATGCGCGCAACCGGCCCAACCAGCGCCCCCAATGTCACCAACCCAACCGAGGGGTCTGGTCTTCTCTTCCATCCCGACGCCTACAACGATTCTGGCGCCTTCTTCTCACGACCCGCCTTGAACCGCCAGAGCCAGGCCGTTCCTCCCAACGGATCTCGTCGACTGATGAGACGAATCCGATCGCAGGACCAGCTGCGAGGAAGCACTCCTTCCATGTCACCGCCGCCCAGACCACCCAGATCTCCCATAAAGCCCACCGCGCCTGTATCAGGCTCCCCCGGCTCGCCATCTCGGAGCCCTAGCCTCCAAGAGGAATACGAAGAAGACGACGAGCAGCCCACCGTCGTCATTGAGCGACCAAAGACCAGCGGAGGTTTCCGCCACCCGCAGCCCTTCAACCCCGATGATTCAGTCGAGCCGGTGCCTCCCATTGGGCCTCTTTATGCTGCGCCGCTTTTGACTAGTCAAGAAGAGTATTTTCACAAGACAAAGCTCTCGCCAATCCAGCCCTCGCCCACCGAGCCCTCTTGGCCCCTTGCCAGCCCTACATTGGCAACATACGAGACCCCACTTGCTGACGTTCCTGAAGAGGAAGAGAGCGCAGCAGCTGCTAGACGGTCTATCCGTGGCAGCCAATCCGTCCCCATGCTGCGCCGGTCTCATCGTCCAGCGAGCAATGCGTCGGATACCCTTGGCAACCTCCACATGACGTCTGTGCCACAGCATGCCGTCGTCGAGTCATCGGAGAAGCACGGATTCCACTTTGGAATCATCGAAGAGAGCTGGGAGGACGACATTGACTATTGTTATGACCACGAAGCGGAAGCCGACTGCGATTACCAATGGGAACGTGACTCGATGGACACTGCGCGTGATAGTGACACTCTTCCGTTGGAAGTTACCTTTCCCATCGAAGAGAACAGTGTGCCCATTGGAACAGCCAGTTCGTCGCCCGGTATGCTCTCCGTAGCCACCTTTGACGGCCCGGGCCTGAGCCCAATCAGCCAGACGTCAACGCCCACTGTCCAGGAGGCCATTACTCCAGTCTTCACTGCACCCGTCGCCAACAACTTCTCTCTTCCCACCTTTGACAAGAAGAAGTTCCGCGCATCCCACGCCTCGAGCTTCAAAGAGTCTCATGGCTTTACCCTGTCACCGTCGCTGCTGATCCCTGGCGATTTCCATCAGCAGATGCTGATTGAAGAGGGCGCCAGACACGACTACCCCGGAGAGGATGACTTGACGCTTCCTTACCACTCGACTGCTTTCTATGATGAGAATAGCAAGCCCGCCCAGTGGTCACAGCAGCGAGCGAGCACTTCCACTACCGGGACTGTCTCCACATACTCTGATACGACTGCCGATCGCCACATCTCCACCAACTCTACCTGGTCGTTTTACACTCGCAATACCGCCAGCAGCAGTGGATCTGTGCACAAGATGACTGGCTCTTGGACCGAATGCGCGGAGCCTCTACCTGTGGCTCAGGCTGAAGTGCCAGCACCTGTTGATGCTGAGGCGGAGGGGGATATGACTAGCCCACAAGACACTGTTCCTGAGCTAATCTCATTCCCTCTGGCTCCATCGAGGAAGTCGTCTCACAAGTCTCATGCTAGTGAGTCGATTATTCACGAGGACGCATCTTCGGGCCAGAAACGCCGCTCTCGATCCAGGACTGCCAGCCTGAGCAGCCAGGCACCGCCTGTTGGGCAGTACGCCTTGTTCCCTCGATCTTACATCAAGCCAACTGGCGACCGTATCTAAAAAGGTTATACACCAATCTACATACACACGCGCACACATAGTACCTTCTCACCCACCTATTTCACACCGACATACTTCTACACACCACACCCAGACCACAATCGAAGCCAGCTATTCTTTTAAGCAATCAGTTTTGCAAGCATGCGCTATTCGACTTCCATGCATCTTTAGCGATGTACACCCATCTTTTCCTTATTTCCTTATTCCGTCTTTGTTTGGGGATCTGCGCGCACAAACAGGCATTGGGGACGCAATAGCTGCGTGGCACAATACCGTGCGAGATCCTGTGTCATTCTTATCTATCGTTAAAGGAGTTTTTATGTTTCAGCTGTATAGAGTACTACTAGAGGCGCGTCATGGCCTCTACTTGCCCACACGGGGTTTTCCTAGAAATGATGGCGACAGGAGAGAAGAGAGAAAAAAGCAAAAAACTGCCCGAAAAAGAAATTCAAAATAGAAATTGGCAGAAGACATGTGCATTATATATATATACATACCTTGTGCTCTCTTGTCTTGGAGGGTCGGAATCGGATTTCTAGGATGGAAATTGGGGATTTTATGACGGATTTGCTGGGATTTTTACGAACTGGACTTAGATGGAGTTTTTTTTTGTCTTTTGTTTTGCTACCTCACCTTGGTCCTCGTCTCGAGTTACTTTTTTTCCTTTGTCCTGTGTGTTTGGAACCAGATTTGGTATTGTTGGGGGAAAAAAAGAAGAACAACTTGGGTTTCTGTGTATAAAATCCGTTGTTTTGTCAAAGGGTACTAATAAATAAGTGCGCGCGCCGGCTACTTTGTTGATTATTTGTTTTTGGCTTATTCAGGGCACAATGCTGTGTGTAATTTGTTTCGTTGAATAGAAGAGTGCTTTGTATTATAAAGAAAATAAAAGAAAAAACGAGAATTAAAACGGACAGAATTGGTCGATTTTGCATATGATGTGATGTTTGTGGTGTATTTAACGGCTGGTCTAAAGAAAGTTTATACTCCGTAGAAAATCACAATTCGTGTCAATTCTAAAATCATTCTGATATGAATGTCCACAGCGATTTAGCAAAAAACATGGGAAAAACACAAAGTAGTGAATAGCCAATAATCTTTATAAGCTACGTAATTATACTGAGTATCACTATCTTTGCAAATCCCAACCATTGTTTAAATAAAAAAAATATATGGAAATATGAAAATTCCCAGGTTTCCCCTTGTATAAAGCCATATTACACAACTTACACGCGCCTCCAGAAAACGCCATTCCTTGAAATCATTGTTTCATTCTTTCCTTTCGTTTGGCCCCTTCTCCCCCCCCTTTTTTTTTCTTCTTGTTTTATTTTTGATGCTTCGTAGATATATTGTCAAGTCATGCATGATTGAAGGACGGTTTCAACTTCATTTCTTGCCCGTCTTTGACTTCTTCTTCGGCGGCTCATCAGCGTCTTCCATTTCTTCATCATCATCGTCATTATCCACGTCGCTCTCCGCACTTCCAGACCCGGAGCTCTCATGGTTGCTGTCGTACTCCTCTGCAACATCACTGTCGCTATCGGCCTGGAAGTCCTCGTCCACGCTCTCTTCATCTTCGTCTGCGGATCCGCGGTCCGCCTTGTTGACAACGACCTCGTCGTCAGAGTCGTCCATGGCTTCCTCGCGGAGGGCGGCGGCGAGAAGGTTGGCGTCCTCGTCAATCTCGTTCTTGACGCGCAGGCCCTTGAGCTTGAAGAAGGATTCCAGGGCTTTGAGGTCCTCACGATTAATGTTGCTGAACTGCGATGACCCGGCGCCGTTCTTCATGACGACGGTTATGTCGAATGTGGACAGGGCGGAGACTGCGCCGCTGACGCGGGAGAAGGTGACGGACTGTGTTTGCTCGTAGGCAATGTATGTCGCTGGCTTCGGGACGAACATGAATGCCTTTTCCAAGCAGTACAGGAAACCTTCGCTAGCCTTGATAGCGCATTTAATACCATACTGGTTGCGGTGACTGTAAAAGAAGTTAGCACAAGAGGTTTTTTTTTTTTTTTTTTTTAGTATTCAAGAAAAAAAAAAAAAGCAGCAAGTTGCACATACGTAAGGAAATCCTTTGCAGGTGATGAAATCTTCTTGTTGCCAAGGCCGCGGAACATCTTGGCAACAACGTGGTGTAGGGGCTCCTCGTAATGGGGCTCGAGCTTGTCCTTGTATTTGCTCTCCAGCTCTGCCTCTTCAATGTTCAAGTCAATGGTCACTTCCTCGTCCTTCTTAAACTGCATGACGACAAAGGGATATCTCGTCTGGCCCTGGCGCAGAGGAGGATCCAAGCCAATAACAAGGAGGCAGTGCATCTCGTCGGGCTTGGGTAAGACCATGAACTTTTTGACTGCTTCGTATTGGATTTTGTAGTCGTACGTCTTTCCACGGAGTCTAAACGAGGCTTCGTACATGTCGATATCAAAACGACCTCTGTGAGTGTGTTAGCAAAAGAGTACTGGGCGGAACAGGGATGAGACAAATACGTACCTGGGAGTGAGATGCAGAACATCGAGGAATGTGGCGATGGTATCACCAGCAGTCTCGCCAATCTCTGCCTTCTCAATGAGAGTCTCGTAGAAGAGCGTAGCTGCATTCTTCTCCTCCTCCTCACCACCATCGCTACCGGCGTCCTCGCCCTCGGTCTCCTTCTTCGTCGTTACACCGGGGATATAGAATCGCATCTCGACCAGTTGATCCTTGCCCGCACCAGCCTTCTTGCCCTTGCCTCTAGCGCCGCCCAGCTGGCCGTTGGTGCCAGTGTCGTTGGCGTTGAGGGGCAGGGAGAGCTCCAGGGCAACTTCATTTCGACCCGCCAAGTTTGTGTTTCCAATCTCCGAGTAGGGCAGCTCAAAGGCCGGGCGATTCTGGACGTTGAAGGTGATTTCGGATTTGGAGAACTCGGCCTTGCCCCAGTTCCATCCCCGCAGCGCGTGCTCCTTGCTCTCCAGCGCGGTGCTGTACCAGTTCTTGAAGATCTTGCTCAGGCGCTCGTAGTCCTCCTGTTGGAATCCGTCGAGCTGGATGATGCCAGAGTTGCGCTGCAGGATGCGGATCTCGTATCCCCTGGCGGCGCGGCTCCATTGGGCGCTGCCAATGTTGCTGTGATCGAGGGTGAAGGTGTCACCGCCGCCGGCGGGTTTCCAGCCGAAGCCGGTCTCTGCGAATCTGCACTTGCCGCTCTCCTTGGAGAGGTCAAGGTAGATGCTGTCGAAACTCTCACTGTGTGGACGAGGCTGTGGTTAGCATGCAATAGCATATAAATCTTGGGGTGGTGCGGAGATTTGGTGGCCGTGAAGAGACTGAGAGCAAACACCAAGTGCTGCATCTCTCGCTTTCTAGGCCGGCAGAGACAAGGTGGGGGGCTGCAGAGAAGAGAAAAGTCATGTAGCGAGAAGAGGCGAGAGAAGCCGCGGATACTCACATTGCCGTCATTTTGGCCGCCCCAAGTGATGCGATATAATTGATGCCGGCGTGATGGCTTTACAAATCTGAGCTGTGTGGCGTTGAACAAGTGAGGCTGGCTTAATGGATTAAATTTCAGAGCTCCGGCGCGACTGCAGCGCGCAGAGACGCGCCACCTCTTTGCGCCTTGCAGCGGGTGGCCCGTGCAGCCACAGTGTGGCGCATGCAGCAGGCTGAGCTCCCAAACGACGAGGTGAAGCTGTCTATAGCTTCAGTAAAGTCATCTCATGTTAATGAGAGGGAGCCAAGTTACGGTGCTAAACAGGGGAAGGGGATTTTAACAGGAAGACACAGAATTCTCATTTACATCACATATGCCTACAAAAACTGCTCATACGCACGGGGTCTAGCTATGGCTGCCCCTCTACCAGGCCGACGAGCTTCGCTGTTTTCACTGCCTTGTCATTATTATGATTATGATTATGAAACGCTTATTTCCCAACCTGCTGACTGTACTTTACAAAATCCTCATGAAGCTTGTGAATGTTGATGAACCCGCTCCGAGCCTCCAGGGCGCCAAACGGATTTCCCGTTGTCCCGTCCGCATCGCCACTCCCACTCAGCGATCTGTCAGCCTCCCGCTCAATCTTGCCGGCCCAGGTGTGCCATTCAATCGGCTTCAGCGTGCCCGAGCCCAGCACGAGTCCCACGCACAGTAAAAACGTTGCCACGGCGGTTTCGATGTAAATGTCCAGCGGCAGCGCAGCGGTGGAGGGCGATGTGGAATGCTGCGCTGACGTCGACGAGAGGACTGTGTGCTCATGTGCAGAGTAACATCTGGCATCATTGTCTATGATTTAGTATTTTGTTTTTCATTGCACTCTAAAGTCATGCACAAAGAATGAGATGAGATGCAAAAAGGAAAATCTTACCCATGAGCAAGCAGCACCAGACCGACAAGGGTCAGAGGACGGGAGAGCCACGCCATTGGGTGCGGAGGAGGCTGATGTCGGGGTTGATGAGAGAGAGTCGGGCCTGGAAGAAGTCTAAATGCCGGCGAAAGGAGTTTCAGACCGCGGCCGGCACAGTAACCCGGCCCAACTCTGCACGGCCTAGATCCGCTATTTGTTGGGCATTCCCCACGAGCCAGGTCCAGGCAGGGTCGCCACTAGCGAGATGCGCTAGATCTGTTCACTGTATCTTGTACCTTTGCTGCAGATATAATCACAAAAGAACCTTGTCGCATCATCGAGCTAATCAGGCTTGTTGCAAACGTCTTCATAGTGCCGCGCTACAGTAGCACACACAGTGCATCTCGGCGTCGATAAGGATAACGTCAGTCATCTGGCGCGTGCGCAGTGATGCTACTCCGTGACAACCACCGATTCCATCACCTGACAGGCCCCTTCTTCTATCCCCAACCTCTCATCATCCTCGACCGCTGCCCTTATCTGCTACATCTACCGCTGTTCTTATTTGCTGCATCTACCGCCATCAGTGGACGAACGCTCTCATGATCTCGCCCGCCCTGTCGATGGTATAGCCCATCTCTGAACCGCTCCTACGCCAGATTCGCCCCATGGTATCGTCCAAATCCCGAGGCGGTCCTGCTGGCCGGGTCACCGCCGCGCTGCTGCTGGCATCGGCCTTTGCCATCCCGGGCTCGGCCACGGTCATCGGCGGTGATGTCGGCCTCGACCAGCACGTCCTGCTTCCTGCTGGCCCCGGGCCTCTTCTCCCTTCGCACCCCGACACTCCAAAGCCTGCAGAACACACCTTCACTCTCCGACACATCTACCACCACGGCACCGACAGAAACCCAAAGCTGCACCGCAAGCTGGACATCGTCAACGACCAGTCTCGAGTGTTCCTTGCCGCGGGCGATGGCTTCGATGAACACACCGTGCCGGAGCTCAAGGCCAAGAGCCGTGCCGATACGATCCACCGGCTGGCCGACAGACGTCCCTCTGTTGTCGACCCCATAGTTGCCGAGTCTCGTATGCAGGGCTACGCGGCCGTCTTGGATGCCTCGGCATGGACAATGGACGAGGTTTCATCCCCCGACATTACCGATAAAGACACAGTCTTGACCATGGCATACGTCGCTGCCGATGCATATGTGGCAAGGGAAGGGATGGCGGACTGGCTGGACATTGGGACCCCCTTTAACAGAAGTCTCGATTTTGGCTGGGAGACGGATGGCCTGCGTGGCCATATCTGGGCCGACAAGACCAATTCCACCGTCATCATCGGCCTCAAGGGGACGTCACCCGCTGTCTTTGACGGAGATGGCACAACGACCAACGACAAGATTAATGATAACTTGTTCTTCAGTTGCTGCTGCGCTCAACAGGGGCAATGGACGTGGCACCAGGTCTGCGATTGCGCTACCGGCACTTATGCCTGTAACAACACATGCGTCAGGACGGCTCTCGTTGAGGAGAACCGTTACTATGGTGCCGCTCGCGAGCTCTACTCCAATGTCACTGAGCAGTACCCGGACTCCAACATCTGGATAGCGGGTCATTCTCTCGGAGGTGCTGTTTCTTCCTTTTTGGCCCTTACTTACGGCTTGCCTGCCGTGACTTTCGAGGCCGTGCCAGAGGCGCTCCCGGCCTCTCGACTGGGTCTTCCTGTCCCTCCTGGAGCCAATCCTGATACGCCACAAACGCGAGGCTACACGGGAACATATCACTTTGGCCATACTGCAGACCCGGTCTACATTGGCACATGCAATGGCGCGACTGCTACGTGCTCCTTCGCTGGCTATGCCATGGAGTCGTCTTGCCACACCGGATATGAATGTGTCTATGACGTCGTGGCTGACAAGGGGTGGCGAGTGGGAATCGGCACTCACAAGATCCGGTCTGTTATCCAGGACGTTATCCTCAAATACGATGAAGTTCCCACATGTAAGCGTACGCCCGACTGCCGAGACTGCGGTCCTTGGAAGATGTATGAAAGCAATGGCACCGAGTCCACCACGTCTGCCGTGCCCACGACCACTTCCCGAACACGGACACGCACTTCAACATGCCAGACTCCTGGCTGGTGGGGCTGTTTGGACCAGACAACCACAGGCGATGTGACCGCTCCTGTACCGGCACCTACCACTACTACTACGACGACGTGTAAGACGCCTGGTTGGTTTGGATGTAAGGACAAGACGACGACGACGACAACGACGACAACAAAGGATTCCGCCAGTCCGTCATCCATCACCACCACTTGTGAAACGCCAGGCAGATTCTGGGGCTGCAATGACGAGCCTACCACGAGCTCTCTATTTACGACCATTCCCACCGCCTCGACAACATGCGAGACTCCTGGCAGAATATGGGGATGCAATGATGTGGTGACCTCTACCAGCATCACCCCTTCTGCCGGAGGAACCGCACCACCTATTACAGAGGCTCCTACGGCAGTCCCCACATGATAGAATGAATGGTACTTTTTTGTTTAATTTGAACGGCGTTGGGTAACTTTTCTGTTTAATAGACTACCTGCTTACAAGATTGGTGGAATGATTTTCTGTGTTTGAAGCAAGCAGACATTGGTAGCGATTACGATTCAGGCAGCATATTAAGATATACATACAATTGAACTTTGTGTTTCTCAATCTATGGGATTACTATTAATCCTAGTTCTTTATTATAAATGTGTATGTTTACTAAAATCGCCATGCTTAACAACTGAGCTGTGTAGTTCTGGTGCAGATCGTGTAAGGTGATTGCAGATTAAAAAGTATTACGACTTGGTTACATGTGGTGTGTCAAGGCATTTAATAGGTAGCAGTACCTGTGCAGCTTTCCTAAAGTGGGCTGTGATGTCAGCGCCAGCTAAATCCAAATTTTTGGAGTTCCAACCACAAAAAACGCGTCTCTGCTTCTCTCCCTCCACTCTTAAACCTCCCACTTTAGCTCTCCACGAGACTCAAGACTCCGATGTAGCTGCCACCTTCTAGCGCTCTTTAGTGCTAACTAATCTTTTTTTTCCTTCCTTTTCAACTCCTTCCTTCCACAATGTCAACGATGGATCCCGAATCGGCGCAGCAGTCCGAGTCGCAGCTCTCGGCGCCACCCCCTCTCAGCGACCTGGACAGCAGCTCCGACAGCAGCGACAGCGAGGCCGAAGATTCATCAAAGGCAGCGTCGAAGCGAGAGCCGGCGCCGGTGGAATGGCTCGCCACGTCGAGGTCGCGCCGGTCCACGGCGGGCAATCGCATGAAGTCGATGCTGGCCAACGAAGAGCCCGATTCCGACCTCGAGCTGCTCTTCGCCGAGGACGAGGACGACCAGGGCTTCACGGATGCCGGCGACGATGCGTCCGACGTGCAGATGGACTCGTCATCCGACGACGAGGGCGAGAACAATGCCGGCGACGAGCTCGAGGGCGAGCAGGAGCTGGAACGGCAGGCGAGGGAGCGGCGCGCTGCCCAGCGGAAGCGAAAAGCCCAGGAGGCCATCCCGGCCAAGTTCAGGAAGAAAGTCCGCATCCATCCGGCAGCCTCCGAGTCGTCGACGCCGGCGCCGGCGTCTCGTCCCAAGAAGAAATCCGAGCGCACATCGTGGCTGCCCTCGCCGGCCGATCTGCCCACCCGAGCATCATCCCGAAAGACGACGCGCATGTCGAAAGAGCAGCTTCACCAGCAGATGATTGAGCGGGAGGAGCGGCGGCTGAAGCAGTTGGAGCAGATGCAGAAGAAGGCGGCCAGGATGGAGGCGCTGAAGAAACCTCCCATGACGCAGGAGGACCGGTTGCGTGAGGCAGCGATTGTGGAGAAGCGCAATAGTAAGAGCTTGAATCGGTGGGAGGTGGCGGAGAAGCAGAGGGAAGAGGAGCGGCGGGCGAAGCTTGCGGCTTTGAATCAGAGGACGTTGAAGGGGCCGGTGATTACCTTTTGGACGGGGCTGGGCGAGGCGAGGCGGGTTGTCATTGAGGAGGAGAAGCCGAAGAGGAAGAGGGTGGACAAGAAGGACAAGGACAAGGACAAGGGGAAGGGAGTTGAGGCTACGAAGGATGCTGCTGATGCTGCTGATGCTGCCAATGTGACGGCGGATACGGATGTGAAGGGGGGCATTGCTCTTCAAGAAGGTCAACAGCAGACGGATGCATCGACCAAGGTGGTAACCGACGATGGCAATGCTGCTGCTGTGCCAAAGCCTGACGCCGCTGAGACGCAATCAAAGGAGAAACCAGCATCGACATCGGCACCGACGCCGACACCAGCAGCGGGCGAGACCAAGACGGCGGACGCAGCACCCCTCAAACAAGAGGACGATGAGAAGACAGGGCCATTACAGTCAACTCCGAACGCACCATCATCATCACAGCCTCCTACTGCTACCGTTTCTCCTATTACTGCTGCTCCCGCTACTACTGCTGCCTCTTCTAGCACTGCCCCCCTTTCTCCTACTGCTTCTTCTACTGCAAAACCACCTGGAGATGTCCAACCAGCCCAGCCAGTAATAGCTGCGCCTTTACTATCTCCGCCTTTACTATCTCCTCCGCCACTATCTAGTGGCCTGGCAGCGCCAGCATCTGCCTCGCCGTTATCTGCACCACCTCGCCAGACATCTCCGTTGGCAGTTCCCCCAGGTGTCGGTAGTCCACGACCCTTAGAGGCAGGCAAGCCATCCGGCGTGCTCGCACTTCCAGTTCTTGCGCCTCCGCCCGTTATGAACATGGACTACCGCCCCGGCCCAGCACCAAAATCCAATATTCTCGCCCTTCCAAACGCATCCTTACCACAGACTGCATTGGCACCTCCCACCCAGATTCAGCCTCCCGGTTCAACGGCTGTTGCTGCACACGTCTCTACCGAACCAGTCCTCACAAATACCGTCCTACGGCCTATCATTCCTGAACCTGAGCCAATTAGCAAATCGGCAAGTCCGGGCCTTTCAGAGCCGCCTCCTCAATCTGCCCCTGCCCCGGCTGAGGCCCCTGAGACTACCACTCGCAACGTCATCATCTTTCAGAATTTCAATGAAAATGCCATCCAAGACAAGAGCATACAGACTCAAATTTTGTTTGGCCGTAAGATGAACAAACTTTCCAGTAAGCCTTTGCCCAATGTTTTTATTTTATTTTCTTAAGCCTCCTTATTAACATCATTCTTAGAACCCGCCCCTGCTCCGATATGCGTCATCACAGGCCTCCCAGCCCGTTACAAAGACCCAAAAACCGGTCTTCCTTACCACAACGTCGCTGCTTACCGAGAGCTTCAGCGTCTTGGTCGCAAAGAGCTCAGCTGGAGCGCACTCCTCAACGCCTGGGTGGGCAGCGAGAAGATGGCAGCTCGTGGCGTGCCGGCGCGCTTCCTCGATCCAAATGCTCCCACCAAAACGCCCGAGGAGAGGGAAAAAGAGAGACTGGCCCAGATAAGAGCCGTTCCGCCGCAGCCTCAGCCTCCGCCGGTGCAGCAACACCATCAGGCACCGCCGGCGGCCGTGGTCGCGGCAGCTCATAAAGCCCCTCAGACGCAACATCACGTACAACATGTGCAGCACGCTCAGCAACAGAGACCAGCAGCGGCGCCGCAGCAATTGCGAGCGCCTCAGCCGTTTCAGGCACCGCAACAGCCATATGTGCAGCATCAGCAACTGGCAAGGCCTCAGCAACCACAACCTTCTCCTCCACAACTACAGCCACCTCAACAGCTTCCAAACAGACCGTCTCCAAATCCTCCACCTCCTCAAAAGCAACAACAGCCAGTATCAAACATCACTCCCAGCGTATCCCCATCACAAGCTGCCCCGTCACAAGCTGCTCCACCACAAGCTCCTCCTTCACAATCAGCTCCTCTCCCAGCTGCACAACCAGCTGCACAACAACAGCAACTACAAAACCAACAACCCACTCCTACACCGCCACCTCCAGCTCCATCTCCAGCTTCCTCTCAAGCTACCCAAAGCCCCGTCCAGAAAACAACGGCTCTTCAACCACCAGCAGCTCCTGCTCCCGAACCCCAGTTTCAGGCTGGAGGAGAGGCTACTACAGGTGGATCGCAAATAGCGCCTGTGGAGAAGGAGCCACTGCCGATCACAACGGCGGCGCCAGAATAGAGAAACATGAGTATACTATTTATAGCAATAATGTTGTAAAACGTTTATAAACTAAGTAGAATAACAAGAATATATGATATGTTGAAACAAATCTAACGGCAGTTGAATTGTCAAAAATGTTGCATTTTGGTGTTGAGCGGTGATCTGGCCGGCGTGGAATGTGAAATGCCAAGTAGCCCCCGTTCGTATGCACATCTTAGTAGTTATCCAGATACTCAGGTCCAAACCCGCAAAATCGCTCTCGTCATAGACTTGGTGCACAATTATAACGCATTTTACTTGAAGACATTGTAATCACTCATGTAATAGACTAGTTGATGTTTTAACAAAATTCATTTGAATTATGAGCGCACGACCCATATCCATAGCTAATAAATCCAATCGTAGCTGGGTTCTCATCGCTACATTATGCCAATGCCTTCGTCAACCTTCATGACGCAGCATAATCCCGGTATTTGCGCATTGCGCAGTTCCCGCCTCCCTTTTGTTTATCCTTTGATAAAACATCGCTTAAACGCCAGTAAATTTCCCACGGGGTATAGCTTCACTGAAGCTCTTGAACCCAAATGATGAACAATGATAATGTAGATGGTGGTATAAACATGTATGCTGAAAACATATGAAACTCAGATGCCTGTGATCGAGTGTATATAGTATGCTTCAAGTCTAGATGCCAGAAAACGAGAGAAGAGTACTTATACAAGGCAATATTATAAGAAAATCGATGTGTAAACTCCGGCTACTTTTGAGCAATAGAGAATGTCATGCGTTCTGTTTGACCGCTGTAAAATAATGTGATGCATGTGTGTGTACAGGTGCATAGAAAGGAATCCGGGCAGATAAGGTACCTTGAAAATCCTCGCTGAGCAAGCTAGGGGCTGTCAGTCGTGCCAATAGTACCGACAATCCAGCCCAGCTCGCTGACAAAGTCATCAAGGCCGGCCTCGATGTGTGTGTTCAGCAAATTGGTTCCGCTGGGTACCAATTTCGGAGAAATGGGAGTTGCAAAAGATTGATGAGAGGCGAATGTATCCTTCTTCTCTTCAATGTGGCGTGGTAGGCTATAGCCTCTGAACGAGTGTAGTCGAGTCTTTGAAGTGGGAATAGCAGGGAAATGAACTTCGTCCTCGTTGCTAGACATGACGTCGTCGTCGTCATCCTCATCGTCGTAGAAGCTCATGGGAACATCCTCCTGTATGGGACTTGTGGTGACCTTGTCTTTTGTTGAAACAGACCAGTGAGGCGCCGAGTTTGTCTCATTGACCACGGCAGATAGAGGCTGGTTTCGATCGAAAGAAGGTGGCTGAACTGAAAGCTGAGGCTTGACCATGTATGTAGGAAAGCTGCTTATTTCAGTATCATGCTTGATGGACTCGGATGACGTAGAGCGTTGAAAGGGGGGCGGCGATAGGCCAGTGACAAAAGGCAAACTTTCTGATACAGCGGAAACAGCAAAGTTGTCGTCGTCTTCATCCTCTTCAATGACGTCGTCGGGAATTACCAATGGCGGTGGCTGGGCTGAGTGACTGGGACGGCGAGGAGCAAGTCGGTCTTCGCGTAAGATACGGGCCAGGGAACTCGGAGAGATGTCTCTTGCCTTGGCACCCTCACTAAGCGACGACGTAGTTCGGCCATGGCGATTTTCACGCGTGGGGATAGTAATGACGTTATCGTAAATGGTGAAGGAGGAAGCAAAGGATGTTTCTCCATGGCTAGCAGACGGGCGATGTAGGCCTTCCGATGTCTGCGGCTTGCGTGAGAAGAGTCTCTTCCATGTAGGTGGAGATGATGGGCGAGATGACGATGATGAAGGGCGTGAAGTCGGGGCAGATAGAGCTCGGCGGTTGTATATGCTTGGCAGCAGAGGCGTTGGCGGTAACGGCTTCATAAACTTTGTTGCTGGATCCATGGTTCTGAAATCCTCTGCACGCATCGAGTTTGCTGATGCACTTCGGGTCCGTGATGAGCGCTCAACAGGAACATAGAGAGTATTGACGGTTTGCCCGGGCATATAGGGGCACATGGTTGTGCAAGGCATTGTTGCATCAAAGGTCTCAGTTGAGCCGTCTACTTCGTACTGAACAACAGCAAGGTTAGGCTTGGTAACAGATAAAGTTATACTTGGCAGCGCAAGAGAGAGAGTAGGTGTATGAATGAAGAGACGAAGCAAGGATATATAGAAAGGTGTGTGTTGACAGTGGAGAGGGTGATGGCTCGCCGGTCCAATTGCCAGGATCGAGATGAAGAACGAGATGGCGGAGAAGCATGGATGATATATAGAAGGAAGAAATAGACTTACATAGTAGTAGTATGTCTGGCCCATCTTGAGACCACCACTCCTCGTGTTATGGTGTGGGTTCTCTTCATCGCAGACTATATTCTGGAACGTGAAGCATCCTCTCCATTGGCCTTGGCCACGTCGGGCGTCCCGTTCCATGCTATAGCACATTGTGAAATTATCCCAGGAGCCAATGAGGCGCACGGATTGGACAGATGGCTCCGTCTGACTGTGAGATTAGGGCGTCAGCTCAAGTCGGTTCCAACTAGCTCGTGGAGGCCGATTAAAAATACCACTCTAGAGGGCGGGGGGTAAAGGGTGTGTGTGTATGTGCCATATGAAGCCGGGGGCAGCGGGCTAACAAAAGCCGAGACTCCAAAGATTCACATCTTTGCGATCCCGTCCAGCTAGTGCCAAATATGCGCCGACCCCCCAGAAACATAGGGCTAGCTATGCGAGGCCAGGTCCAGGCAATGCGGTGTGGATAGTCTCAAGAAGGAAACGGCGTGACCATGGGACCATGGGTCAAGGGAGGCAGAGTGAATCAAGGGGGAAAGGATACGGAAGAAGCGCGGCAGCTTCATGACAGAAAGGCCCATGCCAATGAGCCGGCAAGGCGATGCAAGGGGGCAAACGAGTAGAGCGGGCTGACGGTGACGCTGATGGGCGAGACATGCGGGCGAGAAGATCAAATTCAAGGGTATAGTCCGTACCGTAGTCCCAAGAACAACAGAGCTCAGGTCAGACAAGTTTGGACGGATAGACATCCAAACAGAGCAAGTCCAATGGTAGTTCCTCGGGGGAGCAGAAGACAGTGACTTTGTTTCTCGTACCAGACTAGTAAACGAGAGACACTGGCTGATAGGAAAACGCTTCGACCAGCGGAGACGAAGGGAAAGCTCCTAAAAATAGGAGAAACACAATGATTCAAAACAAGGGAGAGAAACGAAATGAGTGTAAAGCATCAAAGAAAGAAGCCGAGAAAGAAGGAAAATGGAAGATTCCGCAACACTCACAACATGAATGTGACAAGAGTTGTTGTCGGATCCATTGCGAAGAACCGAAGAATAAACAACTCGAGATTAGATGATATATATGGGTGAGCGTTTTATTAGTAGGAGTACTGATTGACGGTTGTGAAGCAAAACGGTCTGGGATGATCGCTTTTCGTCTCGTAGCCGGCGGCTATTTTTGTCTCGCGCTAATAGACGGCAATACCATAACAGGCCAAGATGTGTTTGTGCGTGTAAAATGCAGTGTTCCTTAATAGTGAGGTTGAATTAGAGACGAGAGAGAGCTTCACAGAATGAAACACGGTGGACAAGCGGGCATGTTTGAAGAAGCGCCGGAACAAAGGAGTTTGGTGATGTGATTGGCCAAGTGGTGTGGTCAATCTGGATGTGCCGCAAGCGCCGCGAACGAGCCGGGGGCCGGTAGAGTCGCAGTGGGAATCGGTTCCTGAATGTGTGGGTGAAGTTTGCGTCGTATTGCAGCGTTGGACGACAGCACAGGTAAGGGGGGGAAAGACAAAAGAGGAAGCCGGCGGCGCTTAGGATGATTAAAAAGAATATCTGCGATTACACGCGATTCAGAAGGGGCGAGGCGGGTAGAGTAGGCCCCGACGAAGGTTTTAGAGAAAAAAAGAGGCGCGGCGAGCAGGGATTGAGGATTACCAAGAGCGCCGGAGACGTGTAGATGCTGCAGGCGGAGATGATGTAGCTCGCGGATCTGCAAGGCACCGGCTGCGAGGATGCGAACCAACAATGACGTTGGTATCAGAGGCCTCGTGAGCAATGAGTTGCCACAGAGAAGCATCGATTGCAAGAGACGCAAGACTGCCGGCTTTGCTGCAGAGAATAGTGACGAAAGGCAGATTCCGTGGTGTCCATGGCTTGCTCAGCAATAGCATTCCGTAGGCAATGAGACGCTGCCGGGGGCACCGTGGAATCCGGCGAGACGGCTGGCCGGCTAGCTGGCTGGGCACTCGTAGATAGCGTCAGTTGGCACCGCCGTAGTAATTAGATTTTGGCGGGATGGAGCCCGAGAAAGTCAACTAGTGCCAGGATCCGGCCAACGGTGGGTTTGTTGCCGTGAGCTATTGGAGAGCAAGGCCCGTCTCCTGCCAATGGAAGAGCCAACAGCCCTCGAGCTGCCTCTTGACCGAGAGCCTGGAAGCGTCAGCCGCAAGCTCCTCCCAACGGTTGTCGTGGCGATGCCAAACTTCAGCTCAGTTGAGTTCAGTTGAGAGTTCAGCTCAGCTTGGGCCGCGGATGGGGACGATTGGGTGGTTGGATGGGCACCAGCCGTGTGTGCCGGATCCAAAGGAAGCTTCGGGCCAGGGTCCGAGCAGGGGGTCGTTTCTGACGCACGCAGGCACCGCGAACGGCTGATTGGATGATTGGACGGGACGCACGAGCGCTGGACCCAGAGAGATTGAACGGGGCCATGCTGGAGACAGGCCGGCGCCAACCAGGTCGACGGTGATGCTGCTCCTACCAGCTGCTGCCCCATATGCCCTCGATTTCAGCACCGATAGCCACACGATTCGCTGCGGATGGGCCAATCTGACGAGATGGACATGACGGCAAGACCGATGCGATTTGCTCGATTTCGATTTCAGGTCGAGATTGACGCAGAGCGACGTTCGGCCGGCCGCGCTTGGGACTTGTAACCTCAGGGAGCTGTGCTTGTTTCGCTGCCGGACACAGCGCCAGACATTCTAGCCTCGCTGGGCCTAGCAGAGTTCATGCATAACCAGCAGAGACTCGGTGTGTAGCAGACTGGCGGTAGCTGCTGTGCTCTGGAAGCGAGTCGACTGTTTCTCGGCTTGTCTCTGCTTAGACGCTTCAAGTGAAGCTGAAAACAGCGGTTAACGTGGTGGAGAAGAGAGAATATTTGGATCGCTCGCTTGCTGGGGTGAGTGGCTTCTACTTTTGTTCGGGTTGGTTCCTTCCTCTCGCCCCGAGGCCGCCAAAGGGCAATTAGCGACACCGCCTGCTGTTTTGGCCAGATGCACTATCGATTGCCTTGTACGCATCACGATACTCGATTCTCGATACACGATACACGATACACGAGATAATCCACGAGATGATACAGGGCTTAGGCTCTCACGGCGTCCATCCTCAATCCTCAAAGAGTCCCAATAACGCTATAGGTTTAACGTGGCGCCGGCTAGGGCTCCTCCTCGTGCTGTGGAATGCGACTGTGGAACTAGCCATGCGCGGCTTGTAGGGGAAATCCAGCCTGGCCGCAGCCACCAGGGGCGGCCTCTTGTCTCAGCCTGTTATGCATACAAGAGACGACAGACAGGTGAGTCGTCGGTCTCAGCCTATGCTGTATGCTGGATGCAGTCCGATACCCCTGTTCTGACTTGACCCGCAAACATCAGGAACCGCGCTGCGAACCTCCACGTGGAGTTGATTAGCTGCATGGAGGAATATCAGTTCTCACAAAGAAAGGCTGCACGACCTTGGCTGTCAACCAGAACCGCGAAATTGCAGTGTTACTGCAGCCTTCACGACCTGGAGAACCAACAATTCTTCACTGAAGATCCACTGGCTCTCGGCCATCCACGTATCGCTGGCGCAGTGCATGCATCCCGCGATCTCGACGGTGCTACGGCGCACAGAGAACCAGCACCGAATGCGGCATACGTGATACAAGTGATCCGTGCCTTGTTGCTTTGTCCCGCAGGATTCTTGTGCTCTGTCCTACATGGCACAGTATAACCGTCAGCACAGACTCGATGTGTCACCTCCATACAGCACTGCGGTTACTGACACCAGAGCTCTAGATCTCCAACGAGGTGGCGCCCGACTCGAGCCGCCCGCATTCCGAGGACAAGCAATTAAAACTGGGGGCCGAGCCAAAGCACACGCCTCGTTCTTTGCCTCTTCCGGCAAATCGACGGGAAGCCATCCTGCCACGCCCGCATTGGTGACCGAATAAAGAATTTACAGTATTGTTGTTTCCATGCATAGGTGCCGAATGGATGGACTGTAGCAATGCTAATCGAACGTCTCCATATCACTTGTCAAATGTTTCTACAAGTATAGCGCTATATCAAGCCTACCAGAAAGGGATACATTTGAAGCCACCATTGGCTCATCTGTCCAGAAGGCGCGGATTCAAGTCACAAGCCAAATCATCGAGACCCCTCGGCTCAGCAACGAAATGAAAGTCCCTTCCTTGCCAGCTGTTGTCGTACGATATGAATTGGCCCACCGAGACATTAAGCAAAAAGTCCAGAGTCGAGACACTACTGTTGCTATTCTCCGTTGTCTCTATGGACCCGCGATGCAGCTAATCTTATACCCTGCAGACTAGTACTACTAGTAATAATATTTTTCATAGAAATCATGACGACAGGCGACCAATCGCGTGCTACGGAAGCCAGCTTTCGGTATTCTCTCATATCCGAGTCAGCTGTCAAAGAAGGATTCAAGCCTCCCACTGGTTGGCCGTATGATTGCAGATGCATCAACAGTGTTTGGCGGCACCTAGCCTAGTTCAAGGCTGTGCTTCAAATTCAGCCATCTATGCAGCCAGACGGGTCATTGCACAGTAATCTCTGTTAGCTGTTTCGATAACGCAGATCATCGACTTGAGCTCTGTGCCGGCGCTTAAAGCTACTAGTTTGTGCAAACATCGGCCGAATTGACTGTCCAGGCTGGCCACCATTATTTGTGCCCAGCTTTCAAAGTTTACTGATACCAATCGCCATCTACATACGTAGAGATGCTATAGATTAGGCGTTGTACGATATAAAAGCCTCGGGTCTTTGTCCCCATGCCTCTCCCCAATCTCGAGACTATTCCATTCATACACCCGTCAACTCTCAAATGCTCCATAAGACAAGTTAGCTGAGAGTGTAGTAACTCTCACTTCGGAGTGCTGTTGCAATTTCTCGGCTACAAAATAGTACCATGTGCCCCTTTGCAGCATTCCAAATAACCACCAGTGATCGACAACAGCTCAACATTGCGGCATCAGATATCGTGACGGTCAGACAGTTACCCCGGCTCTCGCAAACTTCTCCAATTCTCAATAGGGCTTTCCTAATTAACCCGCCTCCGTACATCAGTTCGTTCAATTGCCGGCAACCGGATGCCCGCCACCAGATCGTCTCTGAAGCATCGGGGGGGATTATTGCGGGTGAAGCTGGTGAAACAGCCTAGCAGCAACCACCCCTCCCCCTTCTTCGCCTCCGCGCACAAGGGTTAAAACCGTCTCTATCAGTTCGAGTTTTGTTTTAAGAATTAACGTTGTGGCTCTGTTCCCGAAGGCGGTATCTCTTCCGAGCCTGGGCATGTCAAATTTCATCGGTATTTTCCTGGATGACAGACGAACGGATATCCATGCTGCTCTTCACGTAGCGCGAGCTGTGCGGGCGCAACGACCGCGCATGGCGTCGATATTTGCGGGCTGGCGCTCTTTAAAGTCTTATTAGAGTTCTGTCAAGGCATTTGATAGCTTCTCATGTGACTGCTAACCAAAGACGGTTGACAGATATTTGGAATACACAACCCGCCTTAACAATTTCTGTTAGCTGATCCGGGCGAATGGTGAGGCTCCTCCTTTATCCGTTAAGCTCCTCCGGCGCCAGCAGGCTCGGAACGAAGGCTGGCGCCGTGGCGGGTGTGTCCCATGAAGCGGCCGTTTCGAATTGAATCAGAAAGACACATGCGAACAAGACACAGAAGCTATGGCACAGAGCTTTGGCGAAGCCGAGGTCAGATACCACCTCCATTGCAGGCTTGTGCGACGGGCAAAAACTCGCACAATAGGGCGCGCTTGTGAGCTTGTGAGCCCTGAACACACGGAATTCCTGGAGATATCTGATCTTGTGACGTTTGGGAACTGCGTCGATTGGCCTAATTGCTCACTCCAGAGACATATGGGGTATGACAGCTTTGTACCACGCCGGTTTAGACGATGGTGTAAGGTAGTATAACGTGTTCGACAATGAACAGCCGAATGATTAGGCTATATTTGTCAGACAGACAGGTTTTATGGACTAACCACGGATGCAGATTTTGCATATGCTGTTTTGGTTAGACAGGGCGTGATTCCATCTAGCGTCGTGAAGTGGTGGGATGAGATAAGATCTTGAGTTGGGGGATGCTAGAAGTGTTTGTACGCCGATTGTTCTGTTTATAGAAGAAAAGATGGGACAGTATCTTAAAATCTCACAGCTCTGAAGCTTCTTTTCCTGTTTGGTGTTGTAAAGTAAATCTACGGTCAAGTCAATGTTCATGATTTACTATTTCGGACTATGACGTAAAGAACATACCTATCATTTACGATGCAGAGGTAAATTTGCGGTCTTGTTCTGTTCTCTGCATCAGATTATTATTATTTACAGGGTAGATGACTCTTAACAAATAATATACAGCATTGGAAAGGCCTCGGTGGCTGAGAATTGTGATATCTGTTCCTTTAATTCAGGGTAGGGCTACAAACAGATACAAGGACAGTCAGCTAGCTGCCTTGACTTTGTCACAAATTTACCAGACGAGACGGAAAAGCGTGGAAAAGGATTCAATTCATGTGAATGCCAGTTGAATAGCAAGTTTAATTGAACAATTCAGGGTAGTGCGGTGTAGAAAACGTGAGATTTCGATGGCCAAAGGCCAAACAGCCAGTTCATCGAAGATGAAGAAATCATGCAAAAGAGTATGTGAAAACATGTTGAAGCGTTTCGAGTGAGCAAATACAAACACGCCCAAACCAAATGGCAACCCAAAGTGTTCTCATCAGGTATTAGAAATTGGAAAAGCAGCTCATGTATTCCCAAAAATCATATTCATACATTATCAATAGTAAAAAGCCTCATCCCATCCCCCACCCATCGCATCAGCAACGCCCTCCAATCATTCTAAATTATTATACATGCAAAAGGTGGTCGAGGCTACACCCGACATGTCTCCATAATGATCATGCTCCCCCAGACATATAAATATTGACAACTCCTCCGTCACAGTACCTGCTCAGCCCATATAATGATAAATTTGCCGGAAAAAAGAAAGTAGTGTAAATATATACAGAACAAAGAAGTTTTTGCGCTCAAGGAGCTCAATTAAAAGAAAAGAAGAAAAGAAATTAGAGTATTAATTTGTTTGGCCGGGTTGCTGCTGTCATTCAAAAAAACATTGCGTCGTATGCTCCCTCATTGATATGGAATGGATAAAGTATTAAAAAAAGTGCTTTTGCGCTTGTATAAAGTGTGGATGCACGTATTCTCGAAGATAGCCAAATGCAATGGCCTGTTTATTGGGCTTTTTCGGTCTGCTTCTTGGCGCTTGGTCGGTTGCTTCGCTTGCCACTGTACTTGGTTCCCAGGAGCTGGTCCCAGAAAGTGAAGAAGGGCTGGGAGAAGTTGGCCTTGATTCCCCAGGTCTGGTGGTGAATGTCGTGGTAGGCGGCGTTGTTGCTGGTGATGAGCTGGAGAGGGTCCCAAGGGAAGGCGTAGCCGCAGTGGTCATCAATGGTCTTGACAGTCGAGAAAGCGAAGAAGCAAGTGCCCTGGATCAGAGACATGCCAGTCACCTTGAAGCCAATGCCCGCACCGAGGGTGTCGAGAAGGAAACCCTCAAAGGGGTGGTTGTACAGAGCGCCGTAAGCGTAGGGGACATAGAGACGGTGGTGTCGGGAGTGGAAGGTGGCTATAGAGAGAGAATTGTTAGCAGCTTATTCAAGATGAGCTGGTTGAATAGATTAGTAGGTGCCGCTTACTGTACAGCCAGCGGTTGACATGCATCAATCGGTGGAGGAAGTACTGCCAGGTGTCGAGAATGAAGATGGCAACAAAGTATTGAAGAGCTGGAATGAGCACGTGGTAGATGGCCTTTGCAACAGCAAGTTCCCACGCAGTAAAGGACGGCGCGCTGGAGGCGGTTTCAGAGGGATAGTAGCCTCCAGCCAGAGCACCAGCAAGGAGCGGGTATGAAGCAGACATGCTCTTGGAGATGGCGGTGGCATTGAGCCCAACAAGGCCGAGCAGACCGGGCAGCGCACGCTGGGCGAGGCGGAGGCGAGTGGCCCAGACGGCGATGTCGTAGTCGGCCTTGCCAATCATCTCCTGGGGCTCGGTGACGGCCAGAGCATAGCCCGTCGTCACCTGGATGATCTGCTGGACGATGACATCGCGGAAGACCTCGTAGCGTGTCGCGTGGTTGCGCGAGGTGATTTCTTCCGGCGTGTGCAGGCGGAACTGGGGGAAGAGGTCGAGCATGTCGATGGCGTGGAAGAAGAGCGACGTCGCCCAGTAGACGGCCACGGGGAGCAGCAGCGACAGCCACAGGTCGGAGATCCATGGGAACAGATCAGGCTTTGGCTGCAGCGAGTAGGCCGGCAGCGGCGGAAGCGACGTATCGTAGAGGCTGTGGTTAGCCATGATGGGAGCCTCGGCGGAGAGGTTGTCCATGATGTGGGCAGTGCTGTTGACCATGCAAAGCGAGCAGATGAAGCGCTGTTGGGTAGAACGAGGATAAGTAAAAAAAAAGAGTGTTGATGTAGACTAGAGGTCGCGGAGAGTTCGGTATTAAGAGGCTAATTAAACTCGGCGTTGGTCGGATGTCGCGTTCAGAATGCGTACAGGGGTTCGGTGGCGATACAAGCGTCGGTACCTGAAAAGTGGGATGGCAGTTGATCGCAAAGAGCAGTCAATCGGAAAGAGAAGAGAAGCAAAAGCAAGGACTAAGACGGGGCGAATTAAGAGAGTAAAAGGAAGAACAAGAAGTAGAAGAGCTGCTAATCCTTGTCAGATGGCGCGCAAAATGGAATAAAAAGGAGAGTAAAGGGTGACGTCTTTATAAGGAAGACGGGAAGAGGAATCATTCTGGGCGAATAAAGTTTCCAAAGGCGGTGGAAGACGTGAAATGCCGGCGCAGTCACCAGATTGTAGCTTCTGTTAGCGATGTGGCGGCGGGTGCATACAAAGCCTTATCGCGGTGGTCGGGCTCTCGGAGATGTCGCCTAGCCGAAGCTGGACGTGCCCCTGGCGCCAGCGCTGGGCTGTCATTCTCGGCTTCCGGGTCGATCCACGATCAGACCACAAAACACGAGTCAAGCTGGAGGAATCTCTCGAGCGTGACTTGATTGTGCGTGGATCTGGCAATGTGCACGGTGAATTGGGCGAATGGAGTGTTTTGTGCCTGTTTTGCAGTATATGCGTTACTCTGGAATTGGTGCAGAAACCTCTGATCAGAAACGATGTATTCGGTACGCGACCGAGCTCTGTTATTGCGAGCGATTGGATGTAACTTTTACTACACGCTATATTGTCACTTACATGTGCTCGACATATGACTTATCAGCCAATGACTCAACATGAAACGAATAAAGATGAAAATAAAGATCATTTGAACAAATAACATAGTGTAGATAGTAATATTTTCATAGCTGGTTTCTTATTTTATTTTCCAAAGCTACCAGTAGTAGTAGGAATCGCAGAAGGGTATATTCATCCCAGTTGTTGTATCAAGGTCACTTTGGTCCCCAGGCGCCCATCATGATGGAGGCGGATGGCGAACTTTTCTTTGCACAGCCATAACTTGATATCTCCTGCAATCTACTGACCGATTCTTCTTCAAATGGGAATGATTTGATCGACCTTGTTTATGGCCCATTCTTTGTTTGCGACACACTGTAGAGTGGCTGCTTGATTGTGATATCGATATGGAGCACGCACTTGCCATCTGGCACTGGCAGAACAGCTTCGCAGCTGCCACAATATTCAATAAGCAGCTGCCTGCTCTCACGTGTTGTTCCTATTTATTTCGTTTGTTTTGAAAATTTTTCTTTTCGCATCCACCAGAATTTCAGGTTGCTCCCATTTTTTCTTTGCACACTTGTACTCCTCTCCGGGAGAAGCCAAAGCACTCACAAACTGCCCTGACGACCTCCTCACGGCCATTATTCGCATTGGAAGAATTGATTGTCTTCAATCGTCAACATGCCTCGAGATCTCGCGAAAAGCGTTCGCCATTGCTCGGCAGACAATCCATTCCCCGTTGTGATTCCTTTAGAGAGACCCAACGTCGCAGGCAGGATCCAAAGTTTACGAAGCCAACGCCACAAACTACTCATTATGAAGCCTTCGCCAGCTAAAACCGACCAATTGAATGTTTTTTATTCATCTCTGATGGATGCCGTGTGCTCACTTGTCGGGGTAGATGGCAGCAGATACCCAAAGTGCGTTGACGTTTGCATAACAATGTGCAAAGATACCAACGTGTATGAAGCCACCAGCTGGAAAAGATGGGTTGGACTACGAATCTTTAACACAATGATGAAAGATGTCCGTCGATTAACTCGAGAGACCAAGGTGATTCATTGCCCTGCAGCCCCGCTTCTGATGGTGGTCATAGCAATAAAAGAACTCCTGCCGGATGCCAAGAAGGGGCACGAGCGTAACATCATGGGCTTTCTCAGAGAGTTTGACTGCTACAGCAAAGCTGCGTCCGCTATCTGCTACTTCCACAAAGGCGATCGTCAGAAGATCTTGGCACTGGACCAGCCTTGGGTCTTGAATACCTCGGTACAACGCCCACCCACTCGCCTGATTGATCAATTCGAATTCACCACTTCTCCCGGTCATTCTGGTGGCACAAGGCTGGTGCCGAAAGACAGTGACTCTACAGACGTCGAGATGAAAGAAGATCCAACTCCGATCAAAATAGAGTCGTCTCCTGAGTGTGAGACTGAACCAGCCTCCGAACATCAAACCACACCTCACGCTATACAGCAAACTGGATTAGGTGCTGCGATTCAATCCGGACCTCTTGGAGCAAGACCGCCAGCTATGAATCAATATACACCGCCCTTTGAGCATCAGAACACATCAGCTCTTGCTGGTCAAGCTACAGCATCCCGAGAGAGAAGACACGAAGTACCAATGGCACTGTCCATGCCTAGACATGAACCTCCAACGCAACAAGGGACTTATCTACAAGTGACCCGTGCAGAAGTTATGGAGTACCTTCAGCCTCTGTTTAATCGACTAAAGTATGAAGATTGGGTTGGCAGACTCCATGATGACATTATGTGCATCCTGACAGAGAAGAGCGTCAAAGTTATCACTGCAGAGGCAAAAGGCATGTTGGGATTGTGGGCAGGCAAGACACAGAATGGCACGGTCCTGACTTGGCTTGAGCAAGCAAAAGAGGATCTTACCGTCTTCCGATGGGTTGAGAGAAATGAGCCGTCCTCTGCCACATTGTGGTACACTGACCATATCCATACCATTTTTCACGACATAAATGTAACGATTGGGGCAGTTTCGGAGCCCACCGTCCAAGAAGAGCTTCGAGCTCAAGTGGGTGCGCTAAGAGACATTATCTTCGCCATAAACAAGTGAAGACATAAACAAGTGAAGAAATATGGAGAGAGGATACGGTGAAGGGAGAAGGGACGTGGACATGTGAGATAAAGTTTGTACGGGATATATGGTGCAGCTGCCAATGATTTGCGAGACTGGACTCGAGGATGATGGTGGCCGGGCAGATATTTGCAGCAAGATGCTGGTGTTCTTTTGCTAGATGTACGGACTGATTTGTAGGTACCTGAGGAATTGTAGGTACCTGAGACTTAGTTAATCAAGATAAATGGCAAGACTTGATAAGTCTAATTTTGTGTTATCGAAAAGTCAAATTTCCTCGCGATATGCTTTTTTCCACAATTTCAAAGTCTCTTCTATGTATACCATCCGCTGCTGATCTAGAGGTTCAGATGACCAAACAGCCTTGCTTGTCTTGGCTACAATAAAATGAATGTCTTGGCTACAATAAAATGAAGCAGATCAAGACATACAATAGGCCAACTCCATCTATAATAACACCAACCATCTTCTAGCTAAAAAGCTCTGGCAAACAATTTTTTTCTTTCCGCCAATGCGGGGCAAACCGCCCTTGTTTAGGCAAGCCAAAAATCCTCCCCTCGTGCCCCACCAAAGCAGCCGCAGCCAATCAATTGCCCACATTTTTTTGCCCGCCCACTCTGATTTTTACTCTATCGCCAAAGTTGCCTCTTCCCCTCCATCTCGCTTCTTTTTTTCTTTTTTTTCTTTTTTTTCCTCTTCCTCTTTTGTCTCGCTTTCTCATACCAACAATCTTTCTTTTTATTTCTCCCCGTGTGGAATCACAGTCGCAATCATGCTTATCTACAAGGTTTGTTTTTCCCTTTTAATTCTCAATCTTTTTGTGCCCCGCGAGGAACAACGGCTCTGACCCCGCAACTTCGAATAGGACCTCATCACCGACGACGAGATCATCTCCGACTCGTACGATCTCAAGGAGGTCGATGGCATCGTCTACGAGGCCGACTGCGCCATGATCACTGAGGGCGCCGTCACCGTCGGTGCGTACAGAATCCCCATCCAGCGGGCAGCTTCTTGCTCGCTTCTCTGTTGCCGTTGGACCGCGTAGAATAGCGAATCGATCCGATGTTGCGGCAACACAGATGAAAAGAAGAGAAAAGAAGATTGTTTATAAACGGATATCTAACATGATTGCCTATAGACACCGGTGCCAACGCTTCCGCCGAGGAGGCCGACGAGGGTGTTGAGGATGCCGAGGTCAAGGTCAACAACATCGTCCACTCTTTCCGTCTTCAGTCCACCAGCTTCGACAAGAAGGGCTACCTGACCTACCTTAAGGGTAAGTGACGCTGTTGCAAGCAGATTTCTCTCATCTGTGCGCCATGGTTGTAGCTGCATCAGGTGCTAATAGGATTGCTGTAAACAGGCTACATGAAGGCTGTCAAGGCCGGCCTCCAGGAGAAGGGTGCTCCCGCCGAGACCATCACCGCTTTCGAGAAGGGTGCCCAGACCTACGTCAAGGAGAAGCTGCTGCCCAACTTCAAGGACTTTGAGTTCTACACTGGCGAGTCCATGAACCCCGACGGAATGTAAGTCACGACTACGCAGCTGGCCAGCCAGAATTTCATTCGATGATCTTGTACTAATGGATATCATCAGGGTTGTCCTCCTCAACTACCGTGAGGACGGTGTTACCCCCTACGTCATCGTCTGGAAGCACGGTGTCACCGAGATGAAGGTTTAAATTTGCTTTTTCTACACAAGAGATAGGAACAAAGCGGGTTGGGAGAGAGATGACGAGTGGAGGAAACAAAGTTACGAGTCACATTTTTGCGTTTAACTCGGCGCCATGGCATATATCCCCTTAACTAAAAAAGCCTTATAGCTGGAGAAATGAGCGGAAACAATTCAAAAGGACCAGAAATTCAATTTGCTGATCTAAACATGATTTCACCAATACTTTTCTATTAAAACTTGTATGCTGAAGCCAATGCTTGGTCCTCCCAACGCCAGACAAGAACGAGACTACAATATGCAAAATGTAACAAAATGACGTGCCTCAAATATGAATACGTGCAGCTGACCATTGCTTTTACAAAAAGTTTTGGGAATATGATTCCCCGGCTACTGGTAAGATGGACGGGTCGATAAGGGGATGGGGGGCGGCTCATCGTTGGCCGGAGGAGTTACTGCAGCAGCAGATAGCGTAGGCTTCTTCTTTGGCGGAGGTGGCGGCGGCTTCTTCTTTCCTGCTAGACCCGGTGACCCTAACGGCGCTGGTGCTGGGAATGGTGCCGCCGCCCTGATGACAGGAGGAGTAGTGGTCTCACTGGGAGGAGTTGGCGATCCCGTAGAGGAGCCCGTGTTGGACGTGCCTAGTCTGGCGAAGCGGTTTTGCAGCTCATTAAGATGCGACTGCGGTGGCGGAGCAACAACGGGTCGAGGAGGCTTTGGGGGAGGCGGCGCATCGTCATCATCGTAGCTGGGAGATGCTTTGCCAATGCCAAAGGCCGGGACGGATATTCCGGCAGCTCCCAGCCTGTTGATGGCGCCCTGGTTGAGGTCGTTGGGGTTGGCTCCGAGAGCTGACAATGGACTCTCTGTGCGACCCGGCGTTCCGGAGCCAGATCGTGGAGGCAGTCTTGGGGGAAGACTCGGCGGAGGAGCTCTGGTGCCGGCGGAGGAGACGACAGACTCGTATGGAGGAGGACTCTGGTTGCTCGGGTGGTCTCTCCTCACTGGAGGGGCCGGCAGATTAGAAGTTGAGAGACCCGTTGTATCCGCTCTGTATGGTCCGGTAGGTATCTGGTGCTCTTCCTCCTCTTCCTCGTAAGCGGGTTGATATGTGCCGGGTACCTTTACGACGGATCGTTTGGCTGTGGAAGGAGGTGGAGGGGGAGCCAGGCCTGAGCCTGTGCGTCTGGGCGGAGGAGCAAAGGAGTTTGGATCGCGGAGGGAGCTGAGAGGACGGGCGACGTGGGAGGCGACCTCTTCTTCTTCTTTGTGGCCTCGGCCGGGGATGTGTCTTGTCTGGGGAGGGAAGTTAGATTTTAGATGTAGTCAAGTGTTGAAGACAGAGAGATAGATAGATAGAGACAGAGCGAGAGATGCGAATTGGAGAGAGGACGACGTACGACTTTGCCTTTGGCTCTGCCTTTGAGCCCGGAGGCCTTTTCGCGGCCCTCGGACAGCTTGCCCTTGGCCATTTCGGCGTATTTGGACATGGTGGGCGGAGATGTGCGTTGTCTGGAGCTATGAGTGTGTCTCTGTATTTGCTCTGATTCTTTGTAACAGAGGACAAAAATGGAAGTAAAGAATGCAGGTGAGAATAAACAATGAATATCGCTCTTCTGCAGCAGGAGAATTAATACACAGAGATTTATAAGAAGAGGTTGGTTCCAATTGGGGATGATCGGCGAGACCGCCTGGGCGGAAACGGATTGATAACGAAGAGCGACAAGCGGATGACAGCAGGAGTGGGGAATACGACCGCAGCAGCCACAGGGGTACGTACCTGGAAATGGGAGTGAGGCTGGAGCTGGCTGCGAGGGATTCGGGGCTCCACTTGGGACGACGATGAGCTTGTATCTTGACTCTGGACTAATGAAGACTGATTTACGATATACACTGCAGAATCTGAAAGCATATTTCTCTATTACTTTGTTTATTTTTTATATACCAGATTAATCAGGCATCGCCCATTGTCTAATTGCCATCAACAAAACTCAATTCACTACGCGCTTCTTCGTCGCGTCGCAGCCTTGTCCAAACACCACCTGCATCTGCGCATCCCGCCTGGAATAAGGTCACGCTCAGCCTCGCCCGCCATGGCGGCCACCAGCTCCGACTACGAGCTCCTCACAGAACACTTTAGCTATCCCCCAGTGGTATGCTTCTCCCAATATAAACATACCAAACCATGCTCACAATCGCCAGTCCCTCCTCGACGACATCATCAACACCGTCAACGTCCTCGCCGACCGCGCCCTCGATTCCGTCGAACGCCTCCTCCTCTCCATCCCGCCCCACAAACTTGGCTTCGCCAAGAAACCAAAACAAGCATCATCAGAGCAGAACCCAAAGCTCTCCCCCGAAGAGGCCGCCAAGCTCGAGATTGAAAATGGCACCCACCAGCTCGAAACCCTCCTCAACGCATCTATCGACAAGAACTTTGACATTTTCGAGTTATACGTCATGCAGAACATCTTGACTGTCCGGCCGCAGGACCAGCCGTACATGCGACTGTCACATTATGCCGGGTTGGAGTTTCCTGCGGCGGAGGAGGATGATGGTGATGCAAACGATAAGCCGACTACTGAATCCATCACCGCGCTACGGAGAAGATTACAAGCAAGCCAGAAATTAAACGCCGTGCTGGAATCGGAAAAAGCGCACAACGAAGCCCTTCTGCGACGTCTAAGATCGCTTCTCGGCGTGGACACGGATGCGACCAAGACTGAAGAGGATCAACAAAATGCAATGGATCAGGACGGTGCGGCGGCGGCAACAACGAAGCCGTTTTCCTTCTTGCGCGATAGAGGCGGGCTTGAAGAGAGCGGCGGCGAGCAGCCCATTACGACGACGACCGAATTTACGCTTTCGCAGCTGCAGTCGCTGCGGGCGCTGTCGGGGTCGCTGAGAAAATTGTTGCCGGAATTGACTGTACCGGGAGATGATAGTACTGCTGCTGCTTCCTCCGAGACAGGAAAAGAGCCGGTGACGCCAACGTCATGGAGGAGAGAACGCGCAGAGTACATTGAATCTTCGTCGCGAAAGTATCTCGAGACGGTGGTGGGATTGGAGCTTGGTCCGAGAGGAGAAGTGCGAGATGGGGAGTGGCAAGGGGAGGGGAGAGGGTTGAATAAAGGGGAGGTGGAAGGGCTGGAGAAGGTGGCGGCGTTGCTGGAGACTGGGGATCAAATGGATACGACGTGATTTCGGAGCTTCAGTAGGATGAAATATGAAGAAGCAAAAAAGGATACGTCATGTCTGTGAATATCGCTGTTGTTGTACATTTCTATGATGAGAATATCTCGTCTATAAACCTCATCCACGCAAACTCGCCCTCAGCACATCCGGCACCTCCTTCCCCTCAAGCAACCCCCTCTCCTCGGCCAAAAACCAGAAATGATGCTTCCAGTACCTATTGTCCTTGGACTCTCCCTCCCAGTCCCGATCCTTTGTCTTGTACTCCAGCACCACGTCCACCACCCGCCTTGCCTCATCGCGTTTCTCGCTCGCCAGCAGCGCCCACAGCAGATCCGTCAAGCACGGCAGCGACGTTACCGGCCGTCTCGCCTTTTGCAGGTCCTCAAAGACGGCCATGGCGCGGTCCGTGTTGCCGGTGATGGCGTTTGCGCTCATGACGCGCTCCCAGAGGGTCTGGTCGCCGACGCCGACGTGGGAGAAGCCGTGCTCGAGGAGGAGCGTGTCAATGTCCTTCATGTTGGGTGGGTCGCGGTTGAGAGCGCGCTCGATGAGGATGGTGACCATGTGAGGAGTCACTTTGAAGTCGTCCTGGCGCATGTGCTGGAGCACGGCGTCGATGGCCTCGTCGGTGCCGTTGGCGAGCGACGACACGGCGTAGAGCATCTTGCCGTACGTTTCCTGGTTGGGGCGCAGGCCGGCCTTGGCAATGTCCTGGAAGACGAGGTGGACGGCTTCGACTTGGTCGGCGGCTGGGGCGAGGCCCATTCCGCCAATGACTTCCTCGAGGATGATGGTGAATGTGGCGGGGTCCGGCTCGATGTTGTTCTCGGACATGACCTTGAGCAGATTCTGCACTTCGTCGGGGGAGCCATCGCGGAAGCTCTGGCGGATGATGATGTTGTAGGTTCGGACGTTGGGCTCGATTTGCTCGCGGCCCGCCCACTTGAGCACGTCAAAGGCGGCTTTGCGGTCGACTTGTATAAGGCCCTTGAAAGCTGCGTTGACGGCTTCAATAGTGGGCTGTGCGGCTGTATGCTGAGCATTATTCTGAACTGCTGTCTTCCACAGAGCGAGCATTTCTGCAAGTGCCTCGATTCCAGCTTGCGGCTTTCCAGCCTCGATGAGACTGGAGATGCGCTCTGTCCAGATGATGGTATCAAGCGTCATACCAGAGCCTGCTAGCTTTGCCCAAAGAGCCTCGATTTTGTCTGTGTCCTTGCATATCTTCCAGCCGTGCATCATTCCCGTATAGGTCTTGATGGTAGGGAATATCTGCAGTCGCTGCATCAAACTAAATGTCTCCTGCAACTCCCTAGGGCGGCGGAACGCGCACCAGACGAATATCCAATAGTCAAGGAATTCAGCATTGTTGCGCAGCTGCTTTGCAAGCCCCGGTTTCCGTTCCAGGCGGCTCTTGAAGTCTTGCCAGATGGAGTACACGGTGCCGCTGTCGCGGGCGTCGTATGCCTGCCGGAGCTGTATGTGGAGAGCATTGAAGATGGGCGACGAGTGTGAGCGCCACGGTGCGTCTTCTTTCTGCAGCATCTCAATCGCTTGGGGCCATTGCTGGACAACGTAGGATTGAATCTCAGAGAGCTTGGCCTGGGGGAATCGGATACGATCGCTGAATACTCCGGATACGTATGACTCAGGCACACCTTCTTTGTTCCCAAGTGCTACGGCCAGTAGATTCAAGAGAGGGGCCATGGCTGGGTATGTTCCTGACCTGATAAATCGTGGATCTGAGAGAACAGCAACAGTCGCCAAGAGGCCTGGGATGATGTCGCGGGCCTGGTCCGGGGTGAATTGGAGGAATAAAGCGGCCAATGACCTTGTCGTGGGATGGAGGTGCGTCTTGGTTGCTTTGCCATCGGCAATGTCTCGTCGGACATCTTGGACCTGAGGAAAGGAGAATTTGAGTGACTCATGCTCTTGACTCCTGCGTCGAAGCTGTGAAATGTGTTTCCATAGGCCGATGAGTTCATTCATCAGCTTTGCACGGTCTGCCGAGTCTTGCTTCTGAAAGAGGATGGCATAGCAGAGGTTGAGCACAAGCTGATTCCTAATATCGAGATCCGTCTTTCCTATGCTGCTGTAAAGCTTGGAGAGCTCGATGCTGTGGCCGGTATCGCCGCGCTCGGCAACTTCGTCGCAAGTCTTTTCCAAGAATTGAGTTGCGGAGAGGAGTAATTGTTTGGGCATTTGTCCGTAGTATCCCTTCAAGTGTGGCGAAATGGTTTTCTTGAAGATCTCGAGCTTTTCAAGAACATCAATCTTTCTATTAGACAGTTCTTTGATCTTTGCCGCAATTTCCAATTCACCAAGGAGAGAGGATTGCCGTGTTGCTGTTTTTGTCTCTGGATTGACTACGTCTTTGAAGAGAGCAATGGCAGAATCTTCTGACGCTCTGAGGGGTCCTTTCTTTGCAAAGCCAGAACCTCCATTAAAGACTCTCCTGGGATTTCGTTTCGATGTGCCATGATTGTAACTGCGTTGTTTGTTTCCAAATGCTTCTTCATGTTTATCGTGAGTTGCTGGTCTCCCTGATGATGAGTTTGATGCAGCGTTAGGGAGACCTGCGGCATCACTCAAAGAGGCAAACAGCGCCGTGCCACCGAGTCGCCGAGTTTGCAGTGAGTGAAGCTGAGAGGCGCATCTTGAGCAGATGCTGCGAGATGCGTGCATGGCGCAGAGCTCAATGGCTCACGGTGGGAGGTGAGTAAGAGATGCCGTAAAAGCCTTTGAGCGATGAGAACTGCAAGGTTTGAGATGAGTGGTGGACATTTTTGTGGCGGGGTATGATTGACCGAGGTGTGCAGCCAATGAGAAGCCTGGAAGATGAGTAGCGCAGATTCACCACATGTGCATAGAAGAGACAATAGATCCTCTGAGCATCTGGAAATACAGTATGATCCGCCTGTATTCAGCTAGAAAATGACACATCTGTAAAAGTCCATGTCCAACATTGCTGATACATGTCTATGTGAATAGTGAGATAACTCAGATCTCGGCATCTCTTCTCACCGCAGCCCATGCTCTACACCCGCGAAATTCCCGACCCGAGGCATAAAATCTGCCCTTGCCGAAAAGGGAAAACCAGCATCTCTTCTCATCCCTGTCAAAGCCTGCTCCCGAGTCTATTGAGCTGCTCGGTCGAAATGGACGAATTTCTGCATCTCACTCGGTGGGTTCCATTTTTTTAGTGGCGTTTTTAGGAAGTTTGCGCCGAGCAAAAGTGGTGATTGATTTCTGCTAGCTAGACTCGGTATGACGTTGGTGAGGACTGGGCTTTGTATAAAGCGCCGTCATAGATCGCTTCAGTGTACTGCTCAGTCGAAACACAGAAATTCACAAATTCTTTCTCTACAATCATAATTGGCCTTTTCGTTGTCAACTAATCGGATACAACTTCATCATGGCTACCAACGAACAGGAGCCCAAGGTCACGCTCCATTGGTACGTTGCATCAATTAGAGCATAGAGAACTTGTTCTCAACCCACCAGTCAAGGCATCATATAAAGCTCACAGCTAACCTCTCCCAGGCTCAACCAATCCCGCTCTCAAAGCATAGTATGGCTCTTGGAAGAACTCAAGATCAACTTTGACATCAAGCTGTACCACCGCAACAAACAGACCATGTTTGCACCCCCAGAGCTAGAAAAGGTGCATCCACTCGGGAAATCCCCCGTCGTGGTCATCACGCCTCCTGGTGGAAGCGCAGAGCCCATTGTCTTGGCCGAAAGCGGTTACATGGCGAATTATCTGTGCGAGCACTTTCCTGAAGGCCGTCGCCTCGTGCCGCAGAAATGGAAAGAGGGCATGGAGGGCAAGATTGGGGGTGAGACAGAGGCGTGGCTGAGGAATCAGTATTTCCTGCACTACAGCGAGGGCAGCCTGATGCCATATCTGGTCCTCAGCTTGGTGATTAGTAGTGCGTACCACTTGATAAAGATAAAGTTGAACAGGTTTCTATCATCATACTGACACCTGACTTGTGCAGGACTCAAGCAACCGCCCGTTCCCTTTCTAATTCGCCCCATCACCACCGCCGTCGCCAACAGAATCATCTCAAGCTACATCTTCCCAAATATCTACAGACACATCAAGTTCCTGGATCAACAACTGAGCACTTCTGGCGGACGCTACATCTGCTGTGACCACCTCACTCCTGCTGACATCATCCTCAGCTTCCCTCTCTTCTCAGCCAAAGACGCTCTTGACAATATGGGGCAATGGGAAGGTGGATCATGGAAGAAGGAGTTTCCACGCGTAGCAGATTATGTAAACCATCTTCAAAACGAAGAGGGCTATAAGAAGAGTACGCAGACGATTGCAAAGGTTGATGGACCCAACACTGAGGTGGCGCCGAAGATGTAGCTGTTTAATACCAGTTGATACGAACATTTGGCCTAATTGGTGATGAAAACTATTGACAAGTTAGTAAATTCATTATCAGCGATGGCGAAACAAAAACGTCGGTTGTTGAGAGAACATTTTGCATGTATAGGCCTTATCTTCCCCTGCTATTATATGTAAGGGAGACATGATGACTTTGCCATGATGCATTAATACCTCTGAAAAGCAGCAGTAGCAGCAGTAGCAGCAGTAGCAGCAGTAGCAGCAGTAGCAGCAGTAGCAGCAGTAGCAGCAGTAGCAGCAGTAGCAGCAGTAGCAGCAGTAGCAGCAGTAGCAGCAGTAGCAGCAGTAGCAGCAGTAGCAGCAGTAGCAGCAGCAGTAGTAGTTCCAGCTACAGCTCGAATGCTGGACAACATGACCGGGGTGATGGATAACGTTTCCTTGGTTCATTGTACATACCTATATTTTGGTGACTCTAGTGATATGCCCTGTTCACAGCTGCTCATTAATTTGCTGCAGCTCGACATAAGTTGGAAAATAGCTAGGTACACAATGTTGGACCTGGTGTTACCTTGACCACTCCAATGCTCAATTTAGGACTTTTTGTCCACCATTCACTCAATTCACACTTAAGTCTAGTCTTAGCTTAACTATTTCACCGCCATCAAAAACGGACAGGCATTCCGATACATCAACTAAAATCTTTAACCTGCTTGTATTTCCTATCATCATTCTCAAGTAATTTCACTCTGCGACCTTATATTATGAGAAATACACAGGTTGGAAGCGTTGGTTTGTCTACACGAGAGGTATACCCGATTCTTTTTAAAACCCCACTCTTTCTCTCAGCCCTGACCAAGATCAGGATTAGCTATTGTCTCCTATAGCATGCTCAATATTCCCCAGATACCTTGAAAGAAGCATAGCTCAAAACCAAGAGTGCGTTCCATCGTAGCCTCCCCCTTCCACCACCAGCAGTGTTGTTCGCAATCTCCACATCCGCATCCGTTTGCAGCATTTATTGATTCTATAACTATTCTCTGTGTTTAATGTGTCCAACCACGCTACCAATAGCAATCTCACTACCTCAGAATGACCGTCCAAAGAAACCCCAAGTCAGACTAACTAGCCATTATCCCGTTATGATCGGCTCGCTGCTACCTCACGTAGCAATTTCGCTATTCCTTTACGATGTCCTAGAGAGGCTATCATTAAAGCACTCTGGCCAAATTCATTACAAAACCCTATATCTGCTCCTGCATTGAGCAGCAATTTCACTATTGCTTTATTGCCATTCAAAGAAGCATAGATTAAAGCTGTTAGGCAGTTGTTTCCATGAGCATTTACATCTGCTCCTGCCTCAAGCAGTAATGTCACTATTGCTTCATGGCCATTCCGAGAGGCAAAGAGTAAAGGTGTCTGGCCGTATTTGTCTCGAGCCTCTATGTCTGCTCCAGCCTCGATCAATAGTCTCACTATTGCCCATTGGTGGCCATTAGCAGCAATTATAAGAGGTTTCTGGCCATGTACATCTCGGGCCTCAATATTTGCTCTATTCGTCTTGAGTAGTAGAGACATTACTTCCTCATGCCCTTTTTCTGCCGCAGAAAGCAATAGCCGGTTGATATCGTTCTCAATATCGACTACACGCTTCCCCTTGGCAAGGAGATCAATTATTTGAACGTTTCCGTTGCAAAAGGCATATGATAATGGCGTTCCATCGAGTTCATCTCTCAGGTTTGCCTGCGCCCCTGCTTTAATTAGTAGCCGGATAAGGGGGACATCCTCATTCCAAATAGCATATGTCAATGGGGCTCGGCCATATTTGTCCTTCAGGTTGACTTTCGCTCCCTTTTTAAGCAGCCATTTAAGAGTGACTCGCTTTTTCCGGATGCCTTTGAGCAGAAGCTTAGAAACTTTATAGAAGCCATTTCTTGTAGCCCAAGACAAAGCGGTCCGCTTGTATGTGCCATCTTGAATATCCAGTTCGGTATCAGGTATCGTAAGCAAGCTGCTAACTGCTAAATTCAACCCGAAATAGGACGCCATCATAAGAGTTGTGAATCCCATTGGAAACTCTGTATTTGTAGTAGTCCAATAGCTGCTGAACCATGTGTGGCAACAAATTGAAGTAACGTCACAAATCTTCAGTATTGATTCAGTCATTATGGACTGCATTTCAATGGGCGTCTGATGGAAATGTGATGCCCAATGTTTTGCAGAGTAGTCGAGAAAAGCTTCATGCCAGTTCAGTTGGGTTGATGAGCCAGATATAATCGTCAATCCCGCAAGGAGGTGCCAGACGCAGAGTTCGGCGAGAATACGGTGAGATTCCAGTAAGGATAGTGACAATTTCCATCCGAGATCCCCACAATCGCTTCCGATGGTTTGCATATCATCCGCTTTAACAAGGAACTCTTTTACTGTCTGGTGGAGCAGATAGACCTTTGAGTCAACAACCACGACACAGAGGCCACAAATATTTCGTAGAGTTTCACGAAAACGGTCATCAGGTGCTAGACCGAGGGCATCATAGGATCGCTGGTGGCCATTATCTAAGGCTAGTGCGAAGTTCATCTCCTTAAGAGTTAAGGGTCGTGCTGCTGCAACAATGATATGCAATGCCTTTCTAGCTTGTTCAGTATCAAAGCTCTTGGAAAGTATTCTCTCATATGCTTCGTCGACTGTTGTAGGTATATTTATAGCCTCAATTAACATCATGTTGACATTGATGCTGTTCTCAATGAAATCGAGGACTAGATATACCCATAAGTAGGTTCTGTTGGGAACGTGCATAAGCTTCTGTAATAGGAGATCACATTCAGCTTGAGAAAGACGCAGACGTTCTCCTACATCTTTGACCCTGGCGTTGATATAAATCTTGATCTCCAGGGAAATTTTCTTTATTTCCTCTTCGCTTTCTCCACTCAAGCGGATCACTGGTAGTTCTGGCAGCTGTATCGGCTGAAGGCCGCGATGAATTCCAACATATGGCCGGCTGGTGAGGAGGAATTTTATATTTGAAAGCTTTCTAGCTTCGGTTCCGTATAGCGTACACAATGCCTTGAGAAGTTCGCATCTTCCCTGGCCACTCTGATCCTCGCATTCGTCAATTGCATCGAGAAGACAGACGATTTCGCCTGCGTTCTTATTCTCTGCTACTTGCATCAGAAGTTTCCAAAGCTCGCTGAATGAAGTAGCGAATGTTTCTCCTCCTGAATGAAACTTTCTCAGGATGTCATCGGACAGCAAAGAGGGTTTCTGAACGAATATCTGGCGAAGCATACAGCTGAGAGCGCTAATTATATTCTTCTGGTCCGGAAAGTCATCCTTGAAGAAGAAGTAGCACACTGTTCTAGACTCTGTAGTTTGTATAACAGAGTCGACCAAGTGTTTTACTAGAACTGACTTTCCGCATCCTGGATCCGCAGACACCCAGAGCATGGCTGACGAGTGACTCTCATTCCAAGTCTGAAAGTCCTCATGGGTCACAAACCAGTCACACGTACCGGGTACTCGTGGGGGATTTCTGTCTTTTCGATCTTTATATAGGGATGTATAGAGACGCTTTAGAATGTCGTTCTTTCCTTGCCGCTGCGAGCTTTCTCCGGGGCGATTAATAGTTGCATTGCCCTGAACGAAAGTGTTATTATTCCCGAATTTGTTATCAAATATTTTGCGATCTCCTTCCATTGTATAGAAACCACAGCTGGGAAAAATGAATTGGCTAAAGGCCGACGCGGTCGGATCTCGGGCGGAAAAGACGACGAACGTCGCAATGTGACCTGCCAGTTCTCAGCAGTAATAATGTAAAAAGATACACAACGGGGTCAATCCGAAAATTCTTGGATGCGACTATTATATTTTGGCGGTGGATCGTGGAAGATCTAGTCGCTGCAATCTTTGTTTTCGCGGTCTGCTGTGCTTGGTTGAGTATGGGAATGGAGCGTGGAAATACCTCAGCTCAGATGAGGTCGGGCACCTGGAACAGGGATCGAATTTTTCTTGCAGTCCAATGGAGCCTAATGCGAGAACGCGTCGCGTCGCGAAAGTAATTGAAGACCAATGAAAGGGATCAATGGCTATGGAGGTTGCATAATGTGTCTCTCATTGGCTGGTTTGCACCGCACCGCAAGGCTGTGGTGGTACCGTGGAATCAGCCCATGGAGATGCCTCATCAACATGGCGTAATGCATGTACATCGACGTCCCCTTCAGATTGAGACGTTTTGCAAGAAGATTAGCGGAATTGACAAACAACTAGCAATTACGACAAGCCCTGTATACCTACGCAGCTCTATAAATAGCTACTATGTTAACATAAGGCAAAGTAGTATGTGGCCGAACATCATTAATCAGCTTCATGTTGCTTCGAATGGACTTGCTGATTCACAACCTACGGGATGAGCAGATGAATACGCTGCATTTTGTAGACCCCTCCAGCTTTGCCTTGGGTCGAAATAGTAACCGGATGGAAATGATTTTCATTTGATTCAACGTCTTAATATTTCACTGATTGAGTTTCATTTCTCTGGTACTGACATGCCTGAGTTCTTCAACTGAATTCTCTTAGTTGATGATTTGCGGACAACAGCCGATCTTGATCCATTCAAGATAACCTATGTCAATGTCGAGTAACGTGAATGGTGCCACGATTGCTTGAATCTAAACAGTGATGATTTCCTCTACCATGCACACTGCTACTGTAATTGATGGAAGTCATCAGTTCTTCTTCGACTATTCCACTCCGCAGCTCCACTGATACGCGGCTTAGCACGGAATTATCCGGCTGATCGAGGCTCTGCTCGCCAAAATTACGCCGCAGCCACAGCGCCACAGCCGGGATGGTGGCAATGCGGCACGACAGAGAGCCCATTGCTCGAAGATGGAGTGCCGTGCCGGGTTTCAACGAATCTGCCTTGGCGATCTGGGACGTGTCTCAAGCTAGAAGGAGGTCTCTGCAGCCTGCACTACGACCACTCGGTCAAGATTGCTGTCAAGCTTGCGAGGCTAGATCATGCATGACGGATCGGGCAGAACCGCCCCCGTGTGTGGAGCACCCCAGACTTTACAAAGCCAGCTGTGCTACTCTGCTCGTTTATCTGGTCTCAAGAAGTAGTTGTTTTGGCACATGGAACATCGCCCAGCGGCGAGGGCCCGCTGGTCAATCTGGTTCCCTGGTTCTCCGCAATCTCCTGCAGCGCGCGTATCTGACCTATTTCTGCATTGACTGGGGTCAAGATTCTTTTGCAACCGGCGCTTTTGCCCTGCAGCCTAGGCCGATTTGGCCAATCCCCAGTCCTCGTGAAATCGCGGCAGATGGGCGCTTCTACGTCGTCAGTAGAAGCCACGGGTGGGTTCTAGGATCGCTTGCGAGCTATCGATCAATTGCTTTGACGCCTTCATTTGGACGAGTTTTGAGGTGAATTACTGATGAAATGGGGTTTGGACGGCTATGAGTTGAAGAAAGAAGAGACGAAAGGATGCGGGGGCTGACAGAAGTCTAAGCTGGCAGTAATACGCTGCAGCCCAGAACATGGACCTGTTATTGCCTCACTTCCGCCAGCTTGAGCCGATAGTCCATTGAAGAAGCCGGCGTATTGCCAAAATAATACGGGCTATTTAATAGGTCTAGTTTGTCATTGCAATACATTAGCCAAATCACCCCACCAGTAAGAACAGCCATGCACTACCACTCATAACATCAAGAAAGAGCTCTCAATCTATCAATCCTCATTGTGTCTGGGCTTGGTGAGTTTCCCCATGTGGAATTAAATTACGCCGCAGGCTCCACCCCTGGTGCCCACCCCTGGTGGTGCCCTTTAAATTCATTTCATAGTCAAAGAACAGAAAACAGAATAAACAAGTTACTATATAAAGTTGAACATGGTGTAAATAATGTACTTGATACAAGTGCTTCAATCATAGTTGTACCGTTTTAAGATGCAACGCCGCCTTTGATATCTTGCATCTTCCTTTCAGCGTCCTCTGTAAGCAACTCGCCCCACAGACTATCCACGGCATATCCGCCCTGCGCCATGGCCACCACAATCTGCTTGGCATGGGTTCCTGCATCGCCAATCACGTAGACGCCGGGAATGTTTGTCTCGCCGCAGGGCTCGCGGCGCTTGATGGTAGTTCCGAGATGCGGCGAATCCTCCAGCTCGAGTCCCAGCTGATCGATGAGCTCTCGAGACGTGACGTCGGTTTTGGGCTTGTTCATGAGAAACACAAACTCGTCGTGAGAGCCATCGGTGAAATCGACCGTCACCAGGCTGGACCCAGCAGCATCTGAAAGATGAAGCTGAGAGATTCGGCGATTGTCGACGGTACAGCCAACGCCGCGGGCCAGTCGCAACGCCTTTTCTACAGCCTCCTGCTCTTGCTCAGACACATCCCCGTTGGTCAAAATGACGACTCGAGCAGGCCGTAGCGACGCCGCCTGCATGGCCAAGTAGCCGTAGATGGGCTTCCACGGATATGCCAAGACAGCCACGCCTGCTGTTGGCTGCTTCCGGATCTGTTCCAGCCCATCACAGAAGAGACAGTGATGGATGTGAGATGGCCAGCAAGCAGCGAAGCCGGGCACATCTTCCGGGAAACAATCGCGAGCTCCGGCAGCCCAGATCAACTTGCGTCCATAGAAGGAATTGCCTCTCGCAGATTCTAAGCGGAAGCCTTTCCAATTGCGCCCTTGATAAGAGAATTCGGCTTGGCGTGCCTGCACAATCATCTCTCCTTCAGCCATGGCAATGTTTGGGTATTTTTGTCGCAGCTGCTCTCGTGCTCCAGCGCGAAACTGCTCGGGACTCTCACCATCGTGGCCAATTACACTGTGGAGAGCAGCCACGCCGTGATTGCGATACGAACCAGAGCTGAGGAGGATGGCGGAACGATCACCGCGAGCAAGAGCTAGAGCGGCCGATAGACCGGCGGGACCATCTCCGAGAATGAGGACATCGTAGCAGGTAGTTGGAGAGTCCATGTGTTTCACAGGAGATAGAGGAGAATAGAGAAGAGGAAACCAAACTGTTGAAGAGAAGAATGAGACTCAAGAACCAGGCACTGCAGCCATAGAGCATGCTTGCGACCTACTTATAAGTGCCCATTTGAACTGATACGCATGTGCTTAGCCACGCTTGAAATGCATGTTGGTCGGTGGTGTCGCATCATCTCCACCTCTTGGGCTTATAAGCCCAGTACCATGACGAGGCCACCCACACAATGTAGCCGCCATAACCGTGATCATCCATCACATTTATGACTCCAATTCTCATCATAAAATCTAGGCTGTCTTTGCCAGTAGTCAATGATATTGATCTTACCGGACTTTGTCTCAGTCTTGTGAGGCTAGCCTCAATTGGGCTTCTATTTGCTTTACGAAGCCACAACTCATGACACGGTTCGACCACATTGGACTATTTGCGGCTCCGGATCGAAGCATAGAGTCTTGATAATTGAGAGCGGCGAATGCCATCTCAGTCGGTATTCTCGGTCCTGCCTGTCAGCCAGCGCATCATATGGACGAGCTACTTTACCATGATGGGAGTACACGTATTGACAATGGTCCCTGCATTTTTGAACAATGTGATTCGCCTGTCTATCGTCTTGTACCATTAAGTGGCCGCTAGTATAACAGACATCTCGAGTAAAATGTCGATTTTTTTATCGCAGTCTCCAAACTCCAACCAACTCATCCGCGTGTAGTGTATAAGATGGGCTACCATCTGCCTGGGCCGTATGCGCTGTACCCCGGATTGACACTTCTATTCCAGACTGCACAACACCAAGTTCGGACTGGGTTCGGCCGTGGACAATCATCAGTGCAGGGCCATTTAAGAGGATCAGCTGCTGGCTATTGTGCCACTTTAGTCAAGCCGAATGGCATAGTTGTCGCTGTAGTCATAAGCCTTTGCCATTTCGTCCCATTAACTGATGTACTAAACGTGCTGATAGCTTTCAGCAAAGTCTTGATTGGATATTGTATCTAGCCGAGATTTCGTGACACTCGGCGTCTCTTGTCTTGTGGTAGGTATACCTAGATTGGAAGTCCCAAGAAGATGTCCGCGGCACGCTCGATGGAAGAGCAAGCTTCATCGCTCCCAGTAAGAGTCACCATGAGGAATTTACAAAACCGCAAGCTCCTTCATATGCTATTGCAAGTATTCTCAACTTGATGTCCACGCTACACTGCAGACCACCAGTTGGCCGCTACTAACTTAACCACTACGCAAAGTTGATGCACATATACCAAAACACTTCATCACTTCAGTCATGTAAATATAATCAATCATTATGATTATCGTTCTTGTAACCCTATATTCATCAAGTGAACAAGCTTTGAAGTCTGCTAAATCAACGATATCTTAATTGCTAAGAGGGCATGTCTACACTAACTGCTATATACATCCTGGCGATTACGCCGGCAAACACTCCAAAAGACGAGCCTTGTCCCTCTGCAACGCCGCTTCCAGTGAAGTCAATGGTATGCCAAACTTGGCCTGAGTTTCCTTGGCCACATTCACATAAGGAGTTAGATCCTTCTTGTTTGCCCAAAGGTGAAACAACATGCCGTGGGCAGAGGCCTTGAGCTCCTCTACTTCCACATTGGCCCTGCGTTTCACTGGAATATCTCTACCGCTAACCTTGGCAATGATAGCGCCAACCTCTTCAGCAGTAAGAAGGTCTTTGATCACATTGGCCTCCTGGCCGGCGAATTTGGCTGGATCCTGAAAGGCTGCTGCGACGTACTTTCCAACGTCCTGTATATCGGTATAAAAGATGGGAACGCCATCATTAAAGGCATGGTCCAGCTCTCCACGTTCGGCGAGCGCAGGGAAGTTGAGATGGACGCCTGGCAGGAAAAAGTCTGTATGAAGGACGGCGGGCCGAACAATAGTGTACGATTTGAAATTGCCCGCGCGGACAGCCTCCTCGACTTGTGCTTTGGATACCCAGTAGTCGTGCAAGCCAACCTCCTTCGTGACCTCGTCATCCCAAAAGGCTCTATTTTCGACGGTAAAGGTGGTGGCGGCGACGAGATTCTCTACTCCTGCCTTTTCGCATGCCGCAACAATGGTCTTGGCCTGCAGGGCTTCTATTCCTGGAATCGGGAAAGTGTTTAGGAAAGCTCCCTTGCAGCCTTGCGCTGCCTGGAAGATTTCGTCAAAGTTTGTGCTTTCGCCCTTGAAGATGGTGATGCCTTGCTGTTTCAAGGTTGGTGGAATCTTTGCAGGGTCGCGGACGACGGCGTGGATTTTGAAGCCTGCTGCGAGCAGATGGGCGATGACCGACTGGCTTTGTTGGCCGGTGGCCTGTGTAACTAGGTAGGTAGCCATATTGAAAGTGCGTTGTTTGGAAAAGAAAAGTAGAAAAAATAGATATTTGTTGGTTATGTGAAGAGTATGAGGATGATCCTGAGATGAGAGCTGTGTAATTGAATCTGGATTCTACATTTCAACACAGGACTTCACGAGGGTTATATATAGACAGACAAGTGCTGGCCGTAGCCACCATCACATAGGAATCAGATCATCCCTCACATAAAATCCTCATTCTCTTCTATTAGAAATGCATCTTTCGTCAATGCTGCCAAGTACACGACAACGACACGCAAGTCCGCTGAAGATATCAAAACCGGTATAGCGCCTCGAGAATACTTGCTTCCGGTGGGTCCGGGGTTAAGAGTTGAAGCCAACAGTTTCGGAACTCGGTGGATAAGACTCGAATCCTAGCCGTATCGGGCTGTGGCTGAGACTCCTTCGCAGGCTGCTGTAATGCCGAATCCTTCCTGCTCAAAGCCACGTCGATTCGATGACAAATGCTTTCAAGCCTCGATAAAAGTTGCTTCTGGTGGGCCTAATAAGGGTGATGGCGTCGACAATTATAAGTGCAGACATTGAACTTGGACAAGCTTCATGCGTGCTTCATGCGTGTCATCGACTGTTTCGCCGGAGCTGATTAATTAACAACACCATCGCCGGATTTGCGTCAGATACCGAAACTAAAATTGGTGGAAAAGGGAAATATGAATCACCGAAAAGGCTGCTGGACGTGTACAGGTGCGTAGACATGTGCGCAAACATGCATCATCGTGCCTAATTGTGTTGCCTCCAGCCCGGAGGATTCAGTGCGACGGGCATCTGCCCGCCTGTCGCAAGTGTGCTCGAGCTCAGCGGAAATGCGAGGGCTACGAGATGCGCCTGTCGTGGCCTAGAGACAATGACAATAAGCGAGCTCTTGTGGCAGACTCTGCTCCAGCGGTTCAGAGTCCCAACCGTCGGAACAACCTCTTCGTCAACACAACTTGGCAGGACATGCAAGTATACCGTGATATAACGCTGCGGGTACAACCATCTCATCCCCTGATTCGAACTATTCCCAAGTTGTGGATGCAGCCTCAGCCATTTTTAGAGCATACAGACCTGATCCAACATTGTAAGTCTATAAGAGACGCCATATCCAATGTGTGATGCATGGTGCATTAGCTTACCATGGGCATCCACGCCAGTTCACAACACTGCCTATCTATCATTGGTCACGTTTACCACCGGCAGTGTCCAGATTCGAGACGCACTTGTACGCATGGCTCTAGCCCGAGACACAGCCCCGGGCCTCGCTCTCTTCTTTGCATTGCTCTCTTTTTCTTCGCTCCACCGCAGCGGACTCCACCAGCAGGCCATTCAACTCAAGATATTGGCACTCCAGTATCTATCTGCTCCTGTCAAAGGGGGGCGGCTGAGCCTGGTCGAAGCGGCTCAACATGTAGCTGCATCGATGCTTCTCAGCGCTTTTGAGGTGAGTAGTTAACAAAAGGCGTATTCCTATTAAGGCAAGTCGGTCGTTGTGCTCAAATGCCTTTGCAGATTCTACTCCCGTTAGGAAGCTCCAGCGAGTGGCTGTGGTATGTCTGGGGAGCTATAGATATTGCCCAGGCAACTAGCCTTCAAGATCGGGCGCACGGAAACGATATTCACCACGTTCTTGATTGGGCCTACTACTACAATGCGGTTTCTCGGTTTCCCATATATCACTGGCGTCACAAACCGCTACCCCCAGACACCACAGCTGCAAAGTATCCAAATACCAAAGACGTCGCACATCTATCTTTGACGAGATACCGACCAGTAAGCTCCACTGAGAATTCTTTTGATATTACCTACTAACATGCATCTGAGGCATTGCCGTCTCCAAATCCCACACACGCAATATTGAATTTGCTCTCCGAGTTATGTGACAAATTGTACGATCCATGGGACCCCAGAAGCCGCGGTGAAGACTACCACAACAGCCTGAGAACACTTGAGAGCAGAGCCGAAAACGTTCTTTCCACGCTAAATTTGGTCAACTCGGACGCCGATATTATACTTGGCGTAAAAATATGGCAGCTGGCCACACGAATCTACCTCTCACGAGCCTCTCAGAGCCAATGGGAGTCTACCATAAACCTGGAATCTGAGATTGAAGAGGCTTTTGATGGGATTGTCACGGTTTGTTTGTGTAAACATGCCTTTCCCTTACTTATTATGGCCTGCGAGGCATACACGGATGAGCGGCGAGCAGCCATCATCGATTTAATTGACAGGACTGAGAGGGACAGTTTTGTAAGGAATTTTGGGAAGTTGAGAGATATGATCCAGTCCGTTTGGGTGCAGCAGGATCTGCATGCAGATGGTGATTTGTTGGTGAATTACCTTGGCATCATAAGCACTGTCATTAGCTCCAACACTACACTTCCTTTTTTTGTATAGGCCTTGTTTGGGGAAATGTGAGAACCGAGATACTGAAAGTATAATCTACCATGTACAAGGTTATTATTTGATACTTATAAACACGAAAAGCTTCTTTTCGCATCTCTGTATCCCTATTCGTTCTCTATCTATCACGTCAGATATTTCACCATGAATATTGATAGAAGCTCAATGGGTCTTCAAAAGTTGGACTGGATTATATCGTCTCCCATAGAGTTAAATCCATGCTACCAAGTGCCCAGTCACTGAAGTCTTCCCCAATGCCAGGTATCAATCTGCTATCCTCCTCTGTAATTCGATTATTGGATACAACAGGTTCATCAAAAGTCTCCGTGACAAGAGACCTTTCAGTAGGCGATTGAAACGCTTCCAAGGGCATTTGTGATGTGGAGTCTGCCAAAATAAGATTGCTCTCAACAAACCTGCCTATAGATCTTTCGCGCTCTACTCTAATAGTACCATAGTAAGGCACGTAGATGTGCAACACGTCATTCTTCATATGCATACTGATACCACTGCTCTCAAGTCCATCGCAGCCGATTTGGCAAGAGAGGCTTGCAGTAAAGTAACTCTGACTGGCCACAGAAGCTTCAATGGCCACAAGCTGTCTCAGGCTGTTGGTAATTGTTTGAGTAATGGGGTTGTTGTCTTTTGTTGTTTTGTGTTCCATACTCTCCATTATACGCTCTATGAATCCAATGTCTTGAGGGCGCTGATGTACGAGAAGTTGAAAGACGCTGGTAGTCTCGTTGTTCATGATACTAGTATGACGCTGACAATGCCCTTTTATATGAGCAAGACACAGCGTCATACTAGCGATAAAAGTCAAAAAGTCGATTCCGCGGCAGTAGGAGGAGCAGTTGGAACTACTGTCAAAGTAAAGGACGAAACGGGATAGTATCTCCCGGCTCGCGTTGATAGCCGTCATCTTGCTATAGTCGTATTTCCGATCGTTGGAAGTCAAGAGGATATATGGGAGATGTAATTGTGCAAGTAAATGAAAATGGGTAAGCTGATACATGAGCCGGAGCGTTTCTTTGAAAGCTTCCATAGAATCACCCGTGATGGACAAGGGATCGGGAGGGAGCCACCACTGGGCAGGCGTTAAAGCCGCCGCCTCTTGAAGAAGTTTGTCCACTCTGAGTGTTGCTTCAAGGTTGTGAATGTTTGTGCTATTTCGTTGCAGAATGAGTCCCGCGGCAACTACTTGAAGGCGCTCAAGGCGATCTACTAGTGCGCAATCGTTGGGCTCTTTGGACTCCAAGCAGACGGAATGGGGGTCTTGTAGTGATTCCTGTGGCAACCCCAATATCAAGGATAGATATCTATCTGTAGCGACCAGCCGAAACCACATAAACTCAGGTTCAATACGATTTCGCGTCTCAGCATCGATTGTTTTTGGCAGAGGCCTGGCACTCCAATCTCTATTGCTACCACCAGAAACAGTGTTTCTGTATCGATGAAGGCTCATGACTTGCGCCATAGTCATGGCTCGGCGATTTGAGACCCAGGCGCCGCGGAGATTGCCCGCATTGTTACGAAACATGCTCTCCATCATGATGCACTCGATGCCTTCAAGTGAGCTCGCCAGGTCTTCATTGCAAACAACCAGTCTGTTTGCGGTTTCGACAACCCGAGACATGATGACCTGCAACTCAGATGACAGAAGTGACTCGCTTTGCAGAAAAACGCCCAGCATGAGAAGCCTGCGAGCAATCAAGACTGGGTGAGATCCCGGTAGAGGCGGCTGCAACACGTCTTGAAGCGATGGTAGGTCGTTGCTCATGAAATCCGAGTATGGCATGCATGTGACGCCGTGGAATAGCATGAAAGTATTACTGATTTTCATTTCTGATATGGTCTCAAGCTCAGGCTGGCTTGGCCATGCTGCGAGAAGCTGCTGAGAGATTCCATCATGATTGTCTGGCGAACTGATAAATGCTGCGCTGTTTATATAGTTGTATATGGAAGGTGATGCAACGCCATGTGAACCGCCAGCTTGGCCGCGCTTTTTGGTGTTAGTCTAGGAGATATAATTTGACAGGCTAGAAAAGGAGTATACAATTTTGTCAACATTGCTCCCTCGTTTATCAGATGCTGGTGCCAATCTTGCATCGTCATGATATTCCTGGCTGAGGCACTTGACGCGACGACTTCTGCACCCGTCACATACAGACTCAGTTGGAGAGGCAAAAGTGCATCGGATCTTTCTCCGCTTGCACTCCCAACAGCTTTGCGTGCCCTTTCGAATCTTTCTCCGTTTGGGTGTGGAGAATTGGCCACTGCTTCTGTCGCTATTGGGGATCGCCGTGGCCATGGTTCAGCCGGTTGTGCCGAAACAGCGTCCCAGTATTTCTTTTTGGAGGCGCAAGTGAAAGTCGGTGATGATTTGGCGACACATGCAATACACGCGGCGAATTAGTTTTAACCGCCGCGGCAGAGACACGAATCGCTGAACACGCAAAGTTGAAGGATTCAACCTGGTTCGACCGCGGCGGAATGAATAAGCATCCCTCTATAGTAAGATTAGGCGGAGAAACTGTTATAGTGCACTCCGATTTCAAACAGCGGTTCGACCGCGGCGGAACGATTGCCCCTCTCTGATTGGACGTTGAGCCTTGTCAACTCTTAGCAGATTGTCAATCCATCAAAGTCAAGTCGCAGAGAATCGGTCGCCCGCGGTGTTTATGGTCAATATAACCATGAGTTGTTTAGTTTCTGTGATCCAATTAGAAAAGTATTTAATCTCCCATCTCCTCCCCAAAATCTTACAACAAAGCAGCAAATTGCATACATTTTCAATTAGCAACACTCTTCATCCAATTGCTTACAATGGTCAAAGTTACTATCGCAGGCGGCTCTGGGCGTATGATATTCCAACATTCCCACAATACTAGTCATAACAATTCAGACTAACCCGAGACAACCCTGATTTCAACAGCCGTTGCCAGAGAAATCATAGATGCCCTTGTTGCTACGGGCAAACACAACATTACCATTTTGAGCAGACGAGTCAGTAGCCTCGAACCATTACTAATCCAGAGAAGCTAATTCTTGTAAAGGATGCTTCGAATGATGATGCGATTCCCGGAACCACTTGGTATACAGTGGACTACAGCAACCAAAGTGCCCTAGTGGAGGCTCTCAAGGGAACCCACACTCTGTTGTCTTTTGTTCAGATCATGCATGAATCAGGACAACAATCACAGAAACAGCTGATTGATGCCGCTGTTGCTGCTGGTGTCAAGCGTTTTGCACCCAGCGAGTATGGAAGGTAAGAGGTGTCTCAGATTTAATTTACCCTTGGGCGCAAGTATTGAATCACTGGTTACAGCTCGGGAACTGCTCACATGTCTTGGTACGCCGGGAAAGAGATTGCAAGGGAGTACTTGAAAAAGATCAATGCAAATGGAAAGGCACGTATTATGCTTCATTTACCCACATTCCAACTGGCGCTCTATACTCATGCAGAATTTGTTAGGTTCTTGAATATACCTTGTTCCAAACCGGCCTTTTCTTAGACTACCTGGCGTCGCCATATCAAACAGCAAAGCACGTTGCTCCTTTGGATATCATCTTCAATTATGAAAAATGCAAAGCCATTGTGATTGATGGGCACGAGGACGTCACGATTACATTGACGACGGCGGCTGATGCTTCCGCAGTCATTGCCAAAGCCATCGGCTCTGACAAAGAGTGGCCGGAAATTAGTGGAATTCAGGGTAACCGAGCCACGCTTTCCCAGGTCATCAAGCTTGGAGAGAAGATTCGAGGTACTTTACATCTGCAGTCCAGTCCAAATGCTTGTAAATGTTCGTTCTAATGTGGTCCAGGTCGTCCCTTTACTGTTGAAAAGGTTGGCATCGAAAATCTCAAAGCTGGAGATATTAGCATGCCATGGCGCTTTGAGAGGAGCCATTCGGCTATTAAAGAGGAAGAAGTGCAGGAAATGGCAAAGGTGGTCGTTATTGGCTTTTTGCTCAGCAGTCTTGAGGGCGGATGGGACGTGTCTGGCGAACTCAACCAAAGGTTTCCTGACTACGAGTTTACCAAGATGGAGGATTTTCTCTCACAGGTCTGGAACGGGAAGCCATAGAGAATTTCCAATGGAGATTCGCTTCAGCCGCAGAGTATGTTCCTCTGCTTTCCAAGGCTCCATATAGAATGCTCTTTTTGGTAGTAGACAAAGGCTTCAGTCATGATCAACACACTAGACCATTGTGTATAGTCCGTATACTCGCAAACAACACGTCTTAGCGCACAATTGCAGGAATGCAACATGAAAAAGATCCTTTTCTTCCAAGACTCAGAAGGATTTTAAGTGTAAACAGACAATTTACAATCCCACAACTGTAAAGGGGTTAATATTCCGGGATTCTCACCGAAACTCGTAGATCTGATCAGCGCTAGTCTTGGTACGGAAGGTTTCGCTAGCGTTATAACCCATGCATTCAATACATGCATCTTACCGCCAACATCCCATTTCTATTTAGAGAGATTCTTTCAGTCCGAAACTGCAAGCAACTGCTCAACAAAGCCTCGCAAAAGATTCTCTTTTCAGACCAAGATATGCCTCGGCGGAGTCGTGGATGCAGAGCGTGTCGACAACGGCGCATCGGCTGTGATGGCGGCCAACCTTCATGTCTTCAGTGCCTCATCACCAATAGAACGTGTTCAGGACCCATCCAAGGGCCCATAATCCTGGATCAGACGCGCCTCGTAACCGCACGATATCAAAAGGCGCTGGAACGATCACGATTGCGACGGGATGTTTCCGTTCCCATAGTCAAGCAGCCGTCTTCTCAAGCCTTTGCATCCCTGGAGTTCATTTCCCAATTCGTGTCCTTTATTTCATCCAACAGACAAGGGCCGTCAAAACGACCGTGGCTCTATGCCCTTGGGATTGTATCGTCTGGAGACAACGGCTTGATTCTCGAGGCTGCTCTCAGAGCGGCGGCTACAGCCTTCTGCGGTGTCATGTTTCAGAGTTACACACTTCTCTTGGAAGCATCTCGGCTGTATGGACAAGCATTATCTCGATATGTTGCCGTTCTATCTGGTGGATCTGGCGTGACAGTCACGTTCAAAATGTGCACAACGGTATTGTTATCGCTTTATGAAGCAATTTGGTCGACAAATCCTCCCGCCTACTTTGTTCACTTGGAGGCCTGTTGGCAAATGTTAGTCTCTGCGGACCCCAAGTCTGAAGATGTCGCCGTCCTCAGAGGAGTCGCCGCACATGTGATACACCAAACTGTTAGTGGCAACATAAAATGTCCACCATTTCTAATAGCTAATTGGATCTAGGCTTTTGCAGTAAGTGTCTCACCAAAATTCTGTCACAATCTTTTGTCGAATCAAGATGTTTGGGCCGTTGTATCTAGGATAACGACGGATCAGGAAGAGCCTCTTGTTAACCGGCTTGTGCTTGAGATTTTTACCCTTCAAAAATTACTTTCACAAAGTCGTAGCCCCAATGACGATATCATCGCTTGTGCCCACGACGTCAATGGGAGGATTGAAAACATGTGGGCTGATTACAAAGCAGAGGTAAGTCGACATGATGGCCAGATTCTGTTGTCGTCATGCTCCACAAGACCATACTATGATGCGTTTTCTGCTTTAACAGTGGCGTGTTTTTCAGCAGCGCGTATTCTCCTCTCCAAAGTCCATTCGCTGTCCGTCAGATGCCCCAGCGCAGACTCACTGGAAACGACAAATGGTCAGGTCATTCTCGAGTGTCATTCATATCTTCTGCCGAAGAATATTGGCTGCGCATATCTCCGTATGTTCCTACCGTTGACAGTTGTGGCACTGTACAGTCCGTCCTTGAGACAGAGCAATCTAGCGCATTCAACCCTCAACGATTCGCTTCGTAAACCGTTTAGTGGCTTGAGCTCGATGGCTGTTGAAAGGATACGGGCTTCATAGCACAACAATTGTTCTGGTATCCAGGCTGCGCGGGATGTATAGATGTCAAACGCGGATCCCGAGGGGATAGTAGACAGAGTCTCACGACAGCATCATATATATAGTTATTCACTCTATATCATTTCGCTTCTGTGCCATCTATAGACTTCGAAAAGAAACACCAACACGATTGAACTGTACAAGATCAAATCAAGCTATAGGCTCTAGGAACTCCAGCCTTCCAACCACACTCCCCGTGGAGCCCAAGCACATTGATCTCTCGTGATTCTGATATAGGTTTGCACTCGATGTGGCTCTCTGGCTTGTCGAGACGACTCTACTGCACATCAAGCCTATTCCATATGTATTCTTCACATGATCATCCATGATACGAGACCTACAATGAACAAAGAAGTCATGTAAGGAAATAATGCCATCGAATCCACGCCGTCCAAGTTAGCAGCTGAGGTGATGGGGACAACTGTTTTTCTCTCCGTCTCGAACCAAGTAGCGGCAACAACATCAAAATGACCCTCCGTGGCAAATTTGTTGACATCGAAGATGACACGGCCATACAGATCGGTCAAGTTGCGATTCCGGAAGCTTGCTGGCATGGTGAAAGATGAACTCGGATTTACAAAGAGAAGAATGACATATCGGTGTGGGCCATCACCGACATGAGGTCCTGGTGCAACATACTGCGCGATTGAGGTCGAATTTGTTTCGTTAGATAGCTGCGTGACTCCCTTGGGCACCGTAAAGAGCCAGTGTAAGTAAGGAGCAAGGCTTCTGTTAGAGGCACCGCCGGGAGTGTCGAGGTCTACCATCATTACTATGTGGGACGAAGATGTATTGAGGGGCTCTACAGCCGTAATCAGTGGAGGAATTTTCGTCTCTACGATTTGTTCATTAGTCTGGTTGCTGATTCATAGCCGCCATTGCATCACTTACCGCTGAGCGGGACTGAACCACCAAGAGCTGCATTTGTACCTGCAAAGGTTGCTCCAAGAGACTTATTGGTTGCTGGAGAAAAGCCTGGCGGTGTCTGCGCGCACGACTGGCTGGTATTGCATATTAATGACAATGCGGCAGCAATTGCAAAACGAGAGAAGTTCATTATGAATTATCGATTGATGAGGATGGAGAGAGTATTGTTGCCAGCCACCCAGTTTGCCTCTTTCTACACATCACACCGCTGAATATATACATCATTACCAGCCGGCGATAGCAACTCTCGACTTCGTAAATACGGCATTTGAAGCTGACTTGACAACAACATCCTTGAACTCCCCAAAATTTATTCTACAAGACACTGAGGCTGTCCAACTCCTTCAACAAGTGTTTATGGGTATGGAGTTTTGCAAAACGCGCTAGCGAAACCTACTTTATTCGGCTAGTGCAGAGCTCCGTATCTCTAGACATTGCTGACGCATTTATTGCAGATCCATAGCTAGAACTGAATTGACATGGATTGAGGTTTGCACCGTAAGTTGAAACCAACAGATATCCAAGAAAACTGGGAATGAACAGATAGTGCAGAATAAACAAATCGTCACACGGCGCTGAAAGCCAATAAGAGTCATCACATAGATGTTTTATACCAATACCGTCTGTGCAGGTCACCGAATGGCAAATTCTTCACAGACAGTGTGATATACCCTGATGATATGAAAATTTCCACGTTAGAGCATTTCCGATTAGTGCGGAGTTTTGGGTCCTCTGGTATCCCAGTACACACGTCAAAATGCGTTAGAGTTATCTGACAGAAGCAGAACAATGTCACGGTGAATACTCTGAACGAGACTTTTTTATCACGTGACCTACCGCTATATGCAATAGTGTGTCTGATTTAGATCCTTCATCATATTCCAGCTTGCAGTCAGCTTCCAGTCACCCTTTGCCAAGTATATTGGCCGTTGGTGTCTCTGGTATTCGATATTGCTCTGCTGGATATCGATTCTTGCTTGTGATTTTTCTTTCGAGACTCCTTACAGTTCTGTGTTGCTCCATTTGGCCGTACATATCAATGCGGTTTTTGGTGTTTGTGATGAGGACGAGTTTGCTTGTCAAAATGACTCGATCGTTTCTAGTCTCGTTTGGATGGTGGACTTGTGATTATGGATATCCTTGTTCTGGCATCAGTGTTAATCTTCCGATTTAATTAAAATAAGAAGCTAACAGCTAGCTTTTCCTTAATATTAAGGAAAATTTAAAAAATAAGCTTTTTATAATAATTTATATAACAGCTAATAGTTCGTCAGTCTACCTACAACAAATTTCGGATAAATAAGCCGCCGAGCTCGCTTGGATTGACGTTATTACTATTACACATACTCAACCAGGGTCGGAACTGTCATCGCCACCTTACAATACACATGGAGCAGCAGTCCAAATTCACATTCATCGACGGACCCAGCCTGGCATCTCTCAAGTCACGAGCAGACCGTCGACTGCTGCGCTCACAGCTGGTCACTCGAGCCCTTCGCAAGAAGAAATCCCCCTCCACCCAGCGCAACAACGCAAATGACGCTGCAATCCGTGAAAGCGTACAAGATATTGAGCAATTAGCGGGCACTCGCGGGAGGAGGATTCTACCTGCTACACCCAAATCTGCCGACCAGGCACCATGGACTGGCCCCCGTGGACTCCCTGGACGCAGCAACGGACTGCAGCTTTCGAGTGCTGTGAGCGGGAGCCGAAAAGATCCTTTCGGCGTGTGTTATCCTCCATCTACAGTGGATAAGCGCTGCCACGAACTGATTGACTATTGTGCGTTCATGACTCCAGCCGCAGTCTGCCAGCGTTTTGAACCGTTTTGACAGATCATGCCTAACACTCAGTAGGCATCACTGCAATGTGGCCAGGCTGGCGCACCCTTGATGATTATCCTATGCAACTCTATCGCAGTCTAATACCCCTTGCCGCCTCAAACCCACATGTTCACTATGCCTTCCTTCTCTGTGCTTCTACTCATCTCGCATCACAGAGCGGACGTCGGGCAGAGTTGCAATTGGAGCAATTACGCTATAGTAGCAAGGCGCTTTTGTCGGTTCGTCAAGCGATATCGTCAGCTAGTTGCTTTGATGTAGAAGCCCTGTTGACTGCGATGATCTTTCTTGCTATGAATAATGACGTGTCCTTGGAAGCACATCATGACACTAACCCCTTTGCTCCGCCTTTTACGGATATGCAATGGCTGTCACATTATGCTCGAAGTGAGCTACAACCTGAGCATTGGAAGGCGATTCAAATCGTTGTGGAAAAGCACGGCGGTGCTGCGAATTTGACTGTATTTGCGATGCCGTGGCTGCTTTCTTAGTGAGCATTTCCTACTTGGACCTAGAACGCAACCGGAAAGATGGCTGACAATATGTCAAGTGCTGCTTTGATTCAATCTGCCATATCATTTTCTAAACCTATTTATCCGCTTCTTCAGCCCGATGGGCGGCTGTATGCGGACATTCCAACTAAGGCGTTCCTGGGAGAGATATACCAAGCACCACCAGTCAGTAGCGGGTTTGCCTACCTGCAATCTGCAGGGATTCCGGAAAAACTGGTGATTGTCTTTTCTGGCTTGGGCCGGCTGTCGCGAGCACTTCAAATGCTGAGTGACGGCTCTGTGGATCGTCCTTATTATGATCGAATCGGCGATTACCGCAATCTCGTCCAGCATCGATTGCTGTCGTTGCCGACAGCCAACGATTTACGAGAACCAATTCTGGTGGACCGTACAGCATTACAGCCTATATTGAATCTCTACGATGCATGTCGTATGACCGCTCTGTTGTACAGCACTCATGTCACATTTCCAATTCCTAGAACAGCCAGCCAGAGAGAAGATGTCGTTACAAGCCATCGAAACAAACTTCTTGCGACGGGCCCGCATATCAGCCAAAGCACCGAAGCCTTGGAATTACTACTCTGGTGTACTGTAATTGGCGGAATTGCAAGCGAACATGGCACCCACCGACATTGGTATACGACAGAAGTCAAAAGGTTGTCCAGTTTATGTGGCGTACAATCCTGTTTACAACTAATGGAAACGATGGAGCGCTTTGCATGGATGGAGAAAGCTTGCCAGGCATGTGCATGTGCTTTGTGGAATGCAGCAGATGGCGACTCTCGAATTACGCACGAACAATGAACGGAATTGTATGGGACCTCACACCATTTCTTTTCAGAGTAAGATCTTTTGGTCTTGTAGTAAGGCACGTTTGCCGTTGCGCATAGATCCCGTCAACTCTCTTGGTCTCCATGATGATCCTCTGATCGTTATGAACAAGAACGCAATATGGCTATGGCTGCATTAGCCAGTCCTAGCCAGCTTATTAAACTTTTCCATGAGCTGCTGTAACATACAGGGCATGGATACGGCACCTACTCCTTCAAGATCGTGCATTGCCTTACGGTTTCGGAGGTTGCAACAGCTTGACGCCTCTGTTGTAAAAATTCCATACTAAATCCACAGCTAAATCGCCAGGGTACTCGATGACATCGGAGTCTTCGGAGTCATTTGGACAGTAATTTGAGACAAATTTGTAAGAATATTGCGTAGCGGAACCCTTCAGTGGACATTTACTAACACGTTCGTCGAAAGATGAAAGTTGGTATCTACGTCTTGCTAGTCTGTCTGTGTCACTCTTAGTGCCAGCATAATTTGAGACTAATTCATATTAAGAAGTATCTACTTCGTTCTGATTGGGCCAACATGGTAGATCCTTCAGATGTTTCTCCGGCTAGCATTACCAATAAATACTCCACGGCTCAAATCACCAGCCGAAAGTTCTCCCACTGAGGATGTTGTCGCAGGGAGCTGCATCGGCATTGGTTCGATTGTCATATCATCCAATCGTTTGAGTTTGTAAGCGTGCGGCACATGATGGGATGACAAATAACATTCTGCTTGAGAAATACATCATGGATTTCACAATTATGAGATAAATACGTCCATTTCTTTTCCTGAGATCTGGCCGGATTTCGGACTTCCACATTATAAAATTTCTGTCGCTATCCCCATATACTCCTGCAAAGATTGGGCAATGGCTTCCTCAGTAGCTAAATGTTACAAGAAAGTTCTGCTTATCGGTGCAACATCCGGTATAGGCCAATCTCTGGCCTCGAAATTTGTCGAGGGGGGAGCGAAAGTAATAGTTACCGGACGGAGGAAGGAGAGGCTTGACGCATTCGTCGAGAGATACCCTGATAGATCTTTCGCAATTCAACAAGACATCACGGAACTGGAGAGTATTCCAGACTTCGTTGACAGGTTTGTGCTGTGTAGCAAGTTTGTTGTCCCATGACCATGCTAACAAAGTGAAAAGCGTTCTTTCGAAGCATCCAGATCTTGATTGCTTGGTTGTCAATTCAGGCATCCAGCGGGCACTCAACCTAAATCAGCCACAAAGCATCGATCTCGATAGCGTCCGTGTACGCGTGTCCGAGTCGCCTACCCGGGAGCTACCCTGGAGCGATGTGCCCGTCCGTATAAAGCGCCTACCCTGGAGCTACCCTGGAGCTACCCTGGAGCTACCCTGGAGCGGCCTACCCTGCACCGGCCTACCCTGCACCTACCCTGCACCTACCCTGGAGCTCGAACGCCCGCCCTGCCGCGGCTCCCGGGTAGGCTCCCCCGCCGGACTTGGCCGTTTTTCCCTCCCTCTCCCTTCCCTCCCCCCCGCGCGCCCCAAGGCCCCAGGGTCTCCCAAAAACCTCTAGGTTAAATTTACACTTAATCGGCCTCTTATAAGATAAATAACATAAATGATAATTAGAAATACTATTACTATTATTGCTTGACATATGATCTTAAGGAAGAAATTGAATATTGAATTAAACAGTTATTAAAACAGATATTCCCAAAGAGGCCCTTGTATTATAGAGTCTTTGCTGTGATCTCAATTACTGCACCATCACAAAGATATTGCAGTATAGAATTAAAGCTTTTCACATAATCTGTAACAGTCCCAGCCAGCAGTACATATGTGGTACCAAGCGGTGTGGGCTTGCCACAGCCCTTTGTGCAGTATCTGTAATATATATACACCCTTCATGAGATACCTACTGTTACCATTACTTTAGTCAAATTGAATATACTTTCATCCCCCTATCTGACTACCATCCCGTGACAAAATGGTTGGTTTTTGTCAAAAGAAACAGTGAAGAAACATTGAAGAAACAGCAGTAACATCATCGCTAAAACTTAAAGCAGGCAGTTTATCAAGCAAGATCCAGCCAAGAATGATACTATAGGGGTTAAGTATGGGCTGATTTCTTTCTTCTAGAACCAACGTAATATCTCGATTGTATTGGCGACAAGCAGTTGCTTCTAGGAACAAGGACGCTCAAATAGTGTCGTGCTACAGTAAGAAACAATCATTTCGATAATCGCCACTTGATGTAAAGAGCACGTGCGCAAGAGCACGGGCAGTCAATTGAGTACAGGCATCCTAAGTGTAGGCACGAAAAGTCCCACAATGTGGACCATTATCGGGCTGACATCCAATTAGTCTATGGCATCCTCTGATCCGTAGAGCAGGTCAAGTGGAGGCGACTACAAAGACTAATGCACCGCCAGGCAGCTCGAGTAAAATTTCATGGTTAGGGCGATTAAGTTAGTCGAAGATTGATCTTTCCAGTTCAGCAAGAAGAAAGTTACTGGTTTGGTTCATGTCCGTCAGTTCCGGTTCCATATAGTGACAGTATGAATTGAATGTTCACCAGCAAAATACCAAGTGGCGCCTGACGGAGCACCAGCCCCACCTTCCAGCCTCTTCCTTTAGCGTCCGATTCGCCACAGTAAGACGCCCCAAGAACTGCCAGACAGTTAACCGCGCAACTACAGCGACCTTCAGATACGCCAATATATAATATTGCTATTCTGTATTTTCAAGAACCTTCTGAGTCTATTCGTAAGGAGTTTACACCGCCCCTATGAAGCAGTTTCTCTAATCTCGCCTAGGCCGCAACTAGGACACCTCTATATCTCATAGTGCCTGCCTTGAGCTTATTCAAGGCAGCTGCAACGCCGGAGTCAGACAGCTCAAATGTCTCGACTGTAGGCTTGATTGAATGGAGTGCTGCAAATTCCAGCATGTCACGGTGAACCTTCCTAGTCGCGACCAGCGACATCTTCATTGTGTATCCGTTGAAGAGCATGGGTCCTCCCCTAAGCGCACAAGGTTAGTTGGGTGCTCGTTCAAACAAAAAGCAACCCCTTAATGTGAATAAACTTACGGTAAATTCATGGAATCCGGAGCAGATAGTGGTATAACAATGCCATTTCTAGCAAGAACCTTTTTGTCGAGAAACCTAGCAATGCGAAATAGTCAGCTGCGCGCGCTTCTATTGTTCGGCATGTCAGCAGTTATACGCACTTCTCCCATTCCGGATATGCAGAGCCGGCTATGACAAGCACATCGACAGGCTTGTTGATACTTCCTGGTTCTTGCAAAAGGCAAAACTCAGACGCGCCAAATCGTCGAGCTTCTTCTTCCTTGGCCGCAGTTGATGAAAACACGGCAACATCTGCCCCCATTTTCGCTGCAAACTGGATGGCAAGATGTCCTAGACCACCAATGCCAACTATTCCAACACGCTGCCCAGGATTCACACTTTCAATCAGAGTCGAGTATACAGTAGCTCTAGTACATTGTAGGGGTGTTGCATGTTCGTTGGAAATGACTCGCGGGATCTTGTACACATAAGTCTCGATACCAACGTAGTAGTCGGCAAGGGTGCCATTCTGTCTGCTTCCGTCGGACTCCATGAAGATATCTCGGTCATAGCACCACATGTCCTGTCCATTTAGGCAGTACTTGCAATGCCCACAAGAGTTGCGCAAGAATCCACCCCCGACTCGATCGCCAATCTCCAACTGTGTGACTTCCGACCCTATCGCCTCCACGATTCCAATGCCCTCGTGGCCTAGGACTGAGTTGCATCCAATGGCGTGAATATCCGTGCCGCAGAGCCCAGTGTGTGTGATCTTTATAAGGACTTCCTTTGAACTGACCGTAGTGGGGAGACTATGCAGAACCCTTTTCACCGAACCTTCAACCCCTTGGTAACATACGTTCACTTTGTTAGCTGACATGGCGATAAATGAGAAGAGCGTGAGGTAGAGATAACAATAAGAATGAACTTGGTCGGTCATAAGATTGTGCTTGTGCGGTAACTCATCGATATATATATGCATGGCAGTATATGACGTGTCTCTCAAGCAGAATCAGATTGGTCATCAACCTCAATGCCCGAAGCTCCTTACAACCGGGGAATCTGTCTATTGCCGATCTTCGGACATTACAACAGGGAGTCTACGTAGGACTAGGAACCTGTCGGTGTTAGGAGCCACGACTTCGGCATCATGACAGAACGTGCTTATAAATTTTCACGCCTTTCTGTGCCGATTGCCAATCAGCCGAGTCGAAGCGTACGAGACGGAGTCGAGGTTAGTTCCAAGTACGATTTCGCCATAAAGCTGTTCAAAGGAGTCTTCTTTAGGCGTCTACGATCTCTTCGGAATGTTTATCTCCCTGACGTAGGATACGCCAGAAGTAAAAACTGGCGTCACCGCAAGTTTCACCGTGTTCATCAATAACCGATATCTCGACTTTGCAGAGGCGATATTCCAGAAAAGGCCGCTATGAAGCAGCAGTAGTAGACGAATGCTTACCACCTTCACAGAAGTCGACGTAGCATTTGAGGACTGGGTCTGCAAAAGGTCCAAGTTCAATTTTTAATTCTAGGATGATTTAAATTCACTTCAAAGCTTCGATCTATCTCGTAGTGTATAAATTATGTTACACATTTTTGGCGAGGTATTCCCCCAAGAACTCGCCTAAACTCTCCTGGGGCAGGTTCAAGCGGTCATTCCATAAACCTCTTGTAGATGAAAAGTGTGCCAGATTCCCTTTTCCGTAGATAGCACCGCTCAGCATAGACAACACACCGAGTGGCTCCCCAGCTTTCACCTGTGATGCCCCCTCCTTCCACAGCTGCTCCACACTACCTTGCGAGACCGTAAATCCCTCCTTCATGTTCTTCTCCAGAGCTTTGAGAACTTCATTTTGTGTGATGGTAAAGCTATTCACGTATACATATTGGTTCCTGGTAAGCCCCGGATTCTTCAAGCACTTTGCAATACCACGACCGACTTGATCAAGGTTGGTTGCTTCGTAAGGAATATTACCACCGTCAAAAATAGTGGCAGAGTGGGTGGACAAATTCCAGCCACCAAACCCGGGAATGTTCAATCCCCAGTCAAACATTGAGCCGGTAACCAGAGCTGTCCAAGAGATCTTGTCTTCGTTCGCTTTGAGGTAATCCATGATCTCAATCTTGTCAGCGAGAAATGGGACATAGGTGGATGCGGAGCGATCCGATGTGTCAATCCCATATTCGGACGGGAAAAAGACCTTGACGCCGGCCGCGATAGCCGCATTGATTATGGCCTTCTGAGACGCCAACGCATCTCCAACGACGATGCTAGAGATGGTGCTAATAACGGCATCTTGGCCTTTGAATATTTCGCGCAGAGATGCTTCCGAATAATCAGACTTGACATGTCGGACACCACTGGGCAAAGTCGCCTGTGAAGATGTCCTCGAGAGTCCCGTGACGTCGAACTTCTCGTCTAGGAGTGCCTTGATTGTGGACCTGCCCACATTTCCGCTAGGGCCGATGACCAGAACTGACTTAATCGTAAGTGGATCCATGTTAGACATGTAGATGGAGAAAGATAAGACACAAGTCTCGTTGAAAGATTGGCTGTTCTGTGTGCGTTATTGTGTGCTTGATCGTTCAAACTACAATCATCGACGACCGCACTGGCTCTACTTATATCGAGGTAGCCATAGCAATTCCGTCAAATACTATTTCAGAAAGATCTCAGGATTGATAAGCAAATTGCCGCGGCAGATGTTTTAATAATCAGACGTCCCCAATCCGACTACAAGACCATTTGGCGCCAAACTTGGCGCCAAACCAGTGCAAATCGGGAAGTATCTACTCTATCCTGATTGGTTCCAAGCAAATGGCATGTCTTTCGAAAGTAAGACGAGAATCGGGAGGAGCAGCCGCGTCACAGGGATTAGAAGGTTCTCTTTCTTAGTATATTCACACAAAAATGGAGTATATGTTCAGCTTTGTTTCCTTGTTAATAAGCGACGAACGTTCAACGCTTTCGTGCCCCTACTACGTGTAGACTACACGGCTTCACATAGATTAAATCCGACCCCCTTCATTAAAACTGGGGGGTTGCAGCTATACCATTGACGTAACTGACGAAATATTGGGCATGCATCCATTTTGATCCTGGATCCTAGAACCAGAAATGAGTTTGTGCCGCTTCTTTACTCTGTTCTATTTCCCGTAATCTCTCAACTTCTCCACCAACTCTGTAAACCTTCCGTGACGTAACGGCTCAAAGGGATAGTACCATTCTTCTGCCGCACCAATAACGATATCTTCCTCCCCACGAATAATTGCGTTATGCGCTGCTTCAGTAAAATCTTCTAATGGCATGCCAATCTGGGCACCATTTTTTAGGTCTGGTTGATGCCTGGCATCATGTAGCTCAGCTGTTGAATTGATGCTTCAAGTTAGGCTTCTTCCTCCAACGACAAAGATCCAATTCTCCGACTTACTTTGCACGCTTGGCGGGAATATCTCGATTATCCTGACGTCGGACGAGGCGTCCTTCATGTTTTGGCGAAGCACCATCAGGAAATGGTGGAGGGCCGCTTTACTCGCACCGTAATTGCCACATCGAATTATTGGCACTATTGACGTAGTGGAAGATGTGAACACCATGGCCCCAGAGTTTCTCCTCTGGAAGAATGGAAGGAAAGCCTTGATGAGATGGATATAACTCAAGTAATTAGTCCTAAATTCGAGTTCCACACGCGGGCATATTGCTCCAGGGTAGCTCTAGGGTAGGCGCTTTTCGTGAATGCATGGGCATTTCGCTCCAGGGTAGGCCGCTCCAGGGTAGGCATTCTCTGCTTATTAGCTCTAGGGTAGGCGCTTTGTATGGGGAAAAGGCCAGAAGGCCGGGAAAAATAAAAAAACGAAAAACCAGAAATCAAAACGAAGGAGACTTTTTCGCCATTTGCGAGGGGAGGCCTGAAGGGCACCCTCCGTGTCTATGATTTCATGCCCAGGTCCAGGGTGGGCTGCTCCAGAGGGGGCGTTTTCCTGCTCCAGGGCGTTTTGCCCGCTCTAGGGTAGGCGTTTTCGCCCCAGTGTAGGCAGGCCGCTCTAGGGTAGCTCTAGGGTAGGTCGCCCCCCGTACGTACGGGCGTTGTGTAGGCATTTCGCCCCGGGGCAGCTCCAGGGTAGCACTCCAGGGTAGCACTCCAGGGTAGCACTCCAGGGTAGCACCTCTCGGGGCGTTGTATGGGCCTTTCGCCCCCGGGGCAGGTGCTAATAGCTCCAGGGTAGGCCGTCTCGCCCCGTGGCAGGTGCTAATAGCTCCAGGGTAGGCGTTTTCCTCGAAAAAGGCCAAGTCGGAAAAATCTGGCTAGTTCGGTTTTTTTTTTGTATGGCCGTGAGTCGATTTGACCGATTTCCCATACAAATGAATTTTGCGGAAAATAGGAATTGGACCGCGAGCCCAAAACTGGCGGCCAACCCCGCCCATTCGGTCGGAGGACCTACGAGAGGAAAGGGGAAAACCCGAAGGAAGCAGCTGAAAGGCGGCGGCCGGAGGGTTCCAACCTGACCGATCAACTGTACCATATCTTGCAGACTTCAAGTTATCGCGCCCTTTTGAACAGGCTTGTAGGCTCCGGCCTCGCTAGCGATCGGGCGTAACTCGTTGTCGACCCTCCCGAAAGCGGCTCCCCAGGGTGCACGCCGTACGGAGGTTGCCTGCTGTCGTCGGGGGTCCCCTAGGGGTCCCCTGGCGCTGGCGGATGGGTTCGGTGGGCAACTGGCCTTTCAGGCGAGCGGCATCACTGAGCAACGGGGGGAAACCCGCCCGAAGCGGACGCCGCAATGGTTGATGCTTCGGTCCCGGGTCCCTCTACTGGGGCGCCCGATGCCACGCCACAGCGCGGCGGAGGGATGCCCTGGGAACTTGGGCGGGGGGAGCGGATTGCTGCCCGCAGCGCGTGCCAGGCGACGTAAAAAATCGGCCGGGCGTGCGCGGCGGACGGCGCTGATCGAACTGCCTCACGGCGGGGAGGTTGGCCTACCTAGTGAACTTGAAATCGCTCCGGCAGCCGCGAGGCCGCCGGTGGGCGCGAGGGCTCAGGCCCGGACGCCCTGACGATAGTTACCTGGTTGATTCTGCCAGTAGTCATATGCTTGTCTCAAAGATTAAGCCATGCATGTCTAAGTATAAGCAATTATACCGCGAAACTGCGAATGGCTCATTATATAAGTTATCGTTTATTTGATAATACTTTACTACTTGGATAACCGTGGTAATTCTAGAGCTAATACATGCTAAAAATCCCGACTTCGGAAGGGTTGTATTTATTAGATTAAAAACCAATGCCCCTCGGGGCTCTCTGGTGAATCATGATAACTAGTCGAATCGACAGGCCTTGTGCCGGCGATGGCTCATTCAAATTTCTTCCCTATCAACTTTCGATGTTTGGGTCTTGTCCAAACATGGTGGCAACGGGTAACGGAGGGTTAGGGCTCGACCCCGGAGAAGGAGCCTGAGAAACGGCTACTACATCCAAGGAAGGCAGCAGGCGCGCAAATTACCCAATCCCGACACGGGGAGGTAGTGACAATAAATACTGATACAGGGCTCTTTTGGGTCTTGTAATCGGAATGAGTACAATTTAAATCCCTTAACGAGGAACAATTGGAGGGCAAGTCTGGTGCCAGCAGCCGCGGTAATTCCAGCTCCAATAGCGTATATTAAAGTTGTTGTGGTTAAAAAGCTCGTAGTTGAACCTTGGGCCTGGCTGGCCGGTCCGCCTCACCGCGTGCACTGGTCCGGCCGGGCCTTTCCCTCTGCGGAACCCCATGCCCTTCACTGGGTGTGGCGGGGAAACAGGACTTTTACTTTGAAAAAATTAGAGTGCTCAAGGCAGGCCTATGCTCGAATACATTAGCATGGAATAATAGAATAGGACGTGTGGTTCTATTTTGTTGGTTTCTAGGACCGCCGTAATGATTAATAGGGACAGTCGGGGGCATCAGTATTCAATTGTCAGAGGTGAAATTCTTGGATTTATTGAAGACTAACTACTGCGAAAGCATTTGCCAAGGATGTTTTCATTAATCAGGAACGAAAGTTAGGGGATCGAAGACGATCAGATACCGTCGTAGTCTTAACCATAAACTATGCCGACTAGGGATCGGACGATGTTACATTTTTGACGCGTTCGGCACCTTACGAGAAATCAAAGTGCTTGGGCTCCAGGGGGAGTATGGTCGCAAGGCTGAAACTTAAAGAAATTGACGGAAGGGCACCACCAGGGGTGGAGCCTGCGGCTTAATTTGACTCAACACGGGGAAACTCACCAGGTCCAGACACAATGAGGATTGACAGATTGAGAGCTCTTTCTTGATTTTGTGGGTGGTGGTGCATGGCCGTTCTTAGTTGGTGGAGTGATTTGTCTGCTTAATTGCGATAACGAACGAGACCTTAACCTGCTAAATAGCCCGTATTGCTTTGGCAGTACGCCGGCTTCTTAGAGGGACTATCGGCTCAAGCCGATGGAAGTTTGAGGCAATAACAGGTCTGTGATGCCCTTAGATGTTCTGGGCCGCACGCGCGCTACACTGACGGAGCCAGCGAGTACTCCCTTGGCCGGAAGGCCTGGGTAATCTTGTTAAACTCCGTCGTGCTGGGGATAGAGCATTGCAATTATTGCTCTTCAACGAGGAATCCCTAGTAAGCGCAAGTCATCAGCTTGCGTTGATTACGTCCCTGCCCTTTGTACACACCGCCCGTCGCTACTACCGATTGAATGGCTCAGTGAGGCGTCCGGACTGGCCCAGAGAGGTGGGCAACTACCACTCAGGGCCGGAAAGCTCTCCAAACTCGGTCATTTAGAGGAAGTAAAAGTCGTAACAAGGTCTCCGTTGGTGAACCAGCGGAGGGATCATTACCGAGTTTACAACTCCCAAACCCAATGTGAACCATACCAAACTGTTGCCTCGGCGGGGTCACGCCCCGGGTGCGTCGCAGCCCCGGAACCAGGCGCCCGCCGGAGGGACCAACCAAACTCTTTTCTGTAGTCCCCTCGCGGACGTTATTTCTTACAGCTCTGAGCAAAAATTCAAAATGAATCAAAACTTTCAACAACGGATCTCTTGGTTCTGGCATCGATGAAGAACGCAGCGAAATGCGATAAGTAATGTGAATTGCAGAATTCAGTGAATCATCGAATCTTTGAACGCACATTGCGCCCGCCAGTATTCTGGCGGGCATGCCTGTCCGAGCGTCATTTCAACCCTCGAACCCCTCCGGGGGGTCGGCGTTGGGGACCTCGGGAGCCCCTAAGACGGGATCCCGGCCCCGAAATACAGTGGCGGTCTCGCCGCAGCCTCTCCTGCGCAGTAGTTTGCACAACTCGCACCGGGAGCGCGGCGCGTCCACGTCCGTAAAACACCCAACTTCTGAAATGTTGACCTCGGATCAGGTAGGAATACCCGCTGAACTTAAGCATATCAATAAGCGGAGGAAAAGAAACCAACAGGGATTGCCCCAGTAACGGCGAGTGAAGCGGCAACAGCTCAAATTTGAAATCTGGCCCCTAGGGTCCGAGTTGTAATTTGTAGAGGATGCTTTTGGTGAGGTGCCGCCCGAGTTCCCTGGAACGGGACGCCGCAGAGGGTGAGAGCCCCGTCTGGCTGGCCACCGAGCCTCTGTAAAGCTCCTTCGACGAGTCGAGTAGTTTGGGAATGCTGCTCAAAATGGGAGGTATATGTCTTCTAAAGCTAAATATTGGCCAGAGACCGATAGCGCACAAGTAGAGTGATCGAAAGATGAAAAGCACCTTGAAAAGAGGGTTAAACAGTACGTGAAATTGTTGAAAGGGAAGCGCTTGTGACCAGACTTGGGCGCGGCGGATCATCCGGGGTTCTCCCCGGTGCACTTCGCCGTGTTCAGGCCAGCATCAGTTCGGCGCGGGGGAAAAAGGCTTCGGGAACGTGGCTCCTCCGGGAGTGTTATAGCCCGTTGCATAATACCCTGCGCTGGACTGAGGACCGCGCATCTGCAAGGATGCTGGCGTAATGGTCACCAGCGACCCGTCTTGAAACACGGACCAAGGAGTCGTCTTCGTATGCGAGTGTTCGGGTGTCAAACCCCTACGCGTAATGAAAGTGAACGCAGGTGAGAGCTTCGGCGCATCATCGACCGATCCTGATGTTCTCGGATGGATTTGAGTAAGAGCATACGGGGCCGGACCCGAAAGAAGGTGAACTATGCCTGTATAGGGTGAAGCCAGAGGAAACTCTGGTGGAGGCTCGCAGCGGTTCTGACGTGCAAATCGATCGTCAAATATGGGCATGGGGGCGAAAGACTAATCGAACCTTCTAGTAGCTGGTTTCCGCCGAAGTTTCCCTCAGGATAGCAGTGTTGATCTCAGTTTTATGAGGTAAAGCGAATGATTAGGGACTCGGGGGCGCTATATTGCCTTCATCCATTCTCAAACTTTAAATATGTAAGAAGCCCTTGTTGCTTAATTGAACGTGGGCATTCGAATGTATCAACACTAGTGGGCCATTTTTGGTAAGCAGAACTGGCGATGCGGGATGAACCGAACGCGAGGTTAAGGTGCCAGAGTAGACGCTCATCAGACACCACAAAAGGCGTTAGTACATCTTGACAGCAGGACGGTGGCCATGGAAGTCGGAATCCGCTAAGGACTGTGTAACAACTCACCTGCCGAATGTACTAGCCCTGAAAATGGATGGCGCTC